CAGTCTCCATGGTCAATTTAGTTAAGGTCTCCTTCAGAGTCCGATTCATCCTTTCTACCTGTCCTGAGCTTTGGGGCCTATAAGCACAATGTAATTTCCAATTTGCCCCCAGAATGGAAGCCAAATCCTGACTTACCTTAGCAACAAAGGCTGGTCCATTGTCTGACCCTATTTGGACGGGAAAGCCATACCTGGGGAGGATTTCTTCCAAAATTTTCTTTGCTACAACCTGAGCAGTTTCTCTCTTAGTTGGGAACGCTTCTGTCCATCCTGAAAAAGTATCTCAGTCTCTGACGTTACAGCCGCTCCTGCATACCGCTGGCCTTGGTGGACATAGCTGCTGCCATCAGTGAACCAGGTGAGTTCTGTGTCGGGGAGCGGACGATCTTGCAGGTCCTCCCGCACCCCATGCACCTGAGCCAGTATCTCAGTGCACTCATGGGACGGGGCGTCCAAGTCTGGATTTGGCAGCAGTGAAGCAGGGTTTAAAGAGGTTGGGGGCAGAAAAGTTATTCTGAGGGGGTTTAACAGCAGTCCTTGATAGTGGGTGAGCCGGGCGTTACTCATCCATCGGTCCGGCGGCTGCCGGAGGACGCCTTCAATGGCATGCGGGGTTATAACGCGCAACTCTTGCCCCATGATAAGTTTATCAGCGTCTCGGACCATTAGGGCGGTCGCCACGATTATCCGGAGGCAGGGTGGCCAGCCAGCAGCCACTGAATCTAATTTTTTTGACAAATAGGCAACTGGCCTCTGCCAGGGGCCTAGGTACTGTGTTAACACGGCTTTTGCAACACCCTTACTTTCATCCACGTATAAGTGGAAGGGCTTGGAGACATCAGGGAGCCCCAGCGCGGGGGCTGATAACAAGGCAGTTTTGATTTGCTGAAAGGCCAGCTCAGCCTCTTCCGTCCAATTGAAGGGCTGCCGTTCCTTTGTTGCCTGGTATAGGGGCTTGGCTAACTCAGCAAATCCGGGTATCCATAACCTACAGAACCCTGCCGACCCCAGGAATTCTCTCACTTGCCGTGTTGACTGGGGTCTAGGGATGCGTAGGACTGTTTCCTTTCGGGCTTTGGTTAGCCAGCGTTGCCCCCCTTTTAATAGGTACCCCAGATAAGTTACCTCCGACTTGCAGATCTGAGCCTTTGTTGCTGAGGCTCGGTAGCCTAGCTCCCCCAGAGTCTTCAGGAGGTCCTCAGTCCCTTGAACACAAGTTTCCGGGGACCTGGCCGCTATTAAGAGATCATCAACATATTGCAAAAGAGTTATTTCAGGGTGTTGCCGCCGGTACTCACCCAGATCTTCATGAAGGGCTTCATCGAACAGGGTTGGCGAGTTCTTGAACCCTTGTGGCAGTCTGGTCCATGTTAGCTGACCGTTGATGCCCCTCTCAGGATCCGTCCATTGAAATGCAAAGAGTTCTTGACTTTTGGGAGCCAGAGGAAGGCTGAAGAAAGCGTCTTTTAGATCAAGAACGGTATACCACTGTTTTTTGGGATGTAAGGCACTCAGAAGGGTGTATGGATTGGGCACAGTGGGATGTATGTCCATGACCCTTTTATTAACTTCTCTTAAATCCTGTACTGGCCTGTAGTCCGTACTGTTGGGTTTACGAACAGGTAACAGTGGAGTATTCCAGGATGAGTGGCAAGCCCGTAGGACTCCCTGGTCTAGGAGTCGGCGGATATGGGGCGTAATTCCTTCTCTTGCCTCCAGGGGCATAGGATATTGCCGAACCCGAACCGGGTTCGTCCCTGGCTTAACTTCCACAAATATGGCAGGTCGATGTTTAGCTAGCCCCAAGCCCCCAGTTTCTGCCCACGCTTCAGGGAAACGCTGGAGCCAAGAGTCAATTCCCTGATCGGGGGGCTTTTGCTCTTGATGGAGTCGGTACTCATCTTCTAAGGTGACAGTCAGGATAGATATTGGCCTGTTTTGGGAATCAGTTATCTTGGGCCCTTCTGGCTCAAAGTGGATTTGGGCCCCCATCTTTGTCAGCAAGTCCCTCCCTAGTAGAGGGCAGGGGCTCTCTGGGATGACTAGGAAGGAATGGGAGACTTTTCCCGTTCCTAAGTCTACAGTCCTCTGGGTTGTCCAGGGGTATTTTTTGATGCCTGTGGCCCCGTGCACCCAGGATGTTTTCTTAGACATTTTTCCAATTGGTTTGGTTAGGACTGAGCGTTCCGCCCCAGTATCGACCAAGAAGCGAACTGGGGACCCCTCCACTTGCAAAGTTACCCTGGGTTTGGGGAGGGGGTCCGAACCCCGTCCTCCCTAGTCAGAGTCCTGGGTAACGAGTACGGAGGTAGGGTTAGCTGGTCTCCGTTTCTTTGGGCAGTCTTTAATCCAGTGGCCACGTTCCTTGCAATAAGCACACTGATCTTTTTCTAATCCTTGCCTAGGGCCTTGCTTTTTCTGCTTTCTGTTTTGGCCATTTCCTGCCTGGGGGAAAGCTGCTACTAAGACTTTGGTCATTTCTTTGGTTGCCTTGAACTGTTTTTCTTCTGGAGTATCCCTATTATTATAAACTCGCTGGGCCATCTGAAGGAGGTCCTGAATCTGCTTTCCCTCTAAACCTTCTAATTTCTGGAGTTTTCTTTTAATATCTGGTGTTGCCTGGTTTACAAAGGACATTACTACCGCTGCCTGATTTTCCGGTGCTTCCGGGTCCATAGGGGTAAACTGTCTGAAGGCTTCCATTAATCTCTCTAAATACACAGCGGGGCTTTCTGTCTTACCTTGTAACACAGAATATACTTTAGCCAAATTGGTGGGCTTGCGAGCTGCAGCCCGGAGACCCGCCATTAGAGTCTGGCGATAAATGAGCAGTCGTCCCCTACCTTCTGCCGTGTTGTAGTCCCATCTGGGCCGGGTCAAAGGGAAAGCCGCATTAATGAGGTCAGGATTTGCAGTTGGCTGGCCGTCATCTCCTGGAACCAGTTTTCTGGCCTCAACTTGGATTCTTTCCCGCTCCTCCGTTGTGAACAGGATTCGGAGGAGCTGTTGACAGTCATCCCAGGTCGGCTGGTGAGTAAACATGACACTGTCTAACAACGAGGTTAGATCTTTGGGATTATCTGAGAACCGAGCATTTTGGGACTTCCAATTGTATAAATCACTGGTGGAAAAAGGCCAATACATGAGACGGGAGAGCCCGGTATCATCGAGCGATCCTATTTCTCTGAGAGGCAGGGCTACAGTGGAGTCAGGGAGTCGGGAAGCTTGGTCCCGCTGTACGCGGCCTCGTGTTCGGCCGGCCGGCCCCCCCAGGTTACTTTCGCTCTCGGCTGCTTCTGCTTCTCAGTTTCCCTCTACGGAAGCACCACCCTGGGGGACTGGGTCCTGCGGGATAAGGTGCGGATATGGTGGGGGAAATGTGGGTTCTAACGTTAGGGGGTCCTGGCTGTCCGGCAGCACAGGGGCCGAGGGAGCAGAGGGAGTCTTTTGTCTTGTAGGTCGTGTTACTAGGACTTTGCAGGGCTCAGGGATGAATGGAGTTATCCAGGGTGGTGAGTTTTCCACAAGATCCTGCCACACTAGAATATAAGGAATTTGATCAGGATGTCCTGACTGCCCTGGCAGGAAAATCTTAGTTTTTACCTTAGTAATAATAGAGAGACAGAAAGTTCCTTCGGAGGGCCACCCTACGCCGAAAGAGGGCCACTCCGAATGGCAGAAAGTAACTAGCTTTCCCTTCTTTAGTTCTACGCTTAAGTTACGCCCCCGAGCCTTCACATCCTTAAAATTGGTAACAAGGAGTGAGAGCGGCGTGCTCTGGTTGTTGCCCATCTTTGGACTGCTCCTACAAAGAGAAGGGGGGACGAAAATGAGTGTGAAGCAGAGGGGAGTATCCGACAGGTCCGGTCCTGGAAGGGGAAGAAAAGGTTTTATGTTTCGTTTTGGGCTTACACTTAACACTTAACAATAACGGACAGACAGTAATAACGATGAGCATTCGCGAGCGCGTGTCGGACTTCCGACCTGAGTCAGACGGGGCAACCAAGGATGGAGGCCCCCAGATGGGCACTGGGGAACGTCTCCCACCAGTCCCAAGTGGCTGTCTTCTAGCGCGTCCGCCAAGACCGTGCCACTTACAGAACAGACCAATACAGATTACAGATTACGGATTTCGCGAAATTTCAGGGAGACAGACAGAGACAAAGACAGAGACAGTGACAAAGCCAGCTTACCTACAGATTAAGATCCGTTGACTTGGGGGTCTGGTGGGCTTGGGGGAAATCCTGGATGAGCCCCCATTTGTTATGCCCAGACCGTTTATTCCCCGAAGAAGACCACCAGAGTCCAGAGTCAAAGCTAAGCAGCAAGGATCTTTATTACAGGTTCGAACCTGGAACTCTCCCTCGCTCGTGAAACGAGACGGGCAGGAGAGCTCCCCCACTCAGCTCCGAACAATGTTATATAGTCTAAGAAAAGTGGGCATAGAGTTATTATACAAATCAGATATATGATTGGCTAGTGTTTGAACAAGGCGATTTGGCTAACTATGATTGGTTCCTGCCATTTCTGATATTTTGGTTCAAACTTTGAGGCGGGAGAGCAGGTTTATGGCAGCAAGAGTTTATCTTTCTTAAACACGTCTTGTGACCTTGCCTCAGAACTTACAAAATCTCTGGTATGTGCAAAACAAAATCTCTGGTACGTGCAGAAAACCAGGTACTCACAGAACTTACGAAATCTCTGGTATGTGCAAAGATTAGAGAGCAGAACAAGGGTGTAGCGGGTGGGGGGCGGGTACACATCTATCTTTGTGTCCTTTCACTAGGACTACAAGTGTGTGCACCCATCACACCCAGCTCTTTTGTTAAGGAGACTTCAATAAAAATAAAATCTTAGTCTGATTTGTGAGCTACAGATTATCTAGTATTGTTATGAATCAGTTAAACATTTTAAATAGTATAATGTTGTGGAAAGCAAATAAACTTTAAACATTTTCTGCCCCAAAGCGTGATAAAGACTGATTTTACATTGAACTACAGGTTTCTGTGGATCGCCTCTGAAGTTCTATATGAAAATTGTGCTTAAGTGAATTTTCTGTTAGAAGAACTTGGTTGCTCCTGCCTTGTCAAGATGATTGCAACACCTTTGAAACATTCAAGAATTTACTTACCTCCAGAGACATCTTCTCAAAGGAGAAATCTACCCATGGATGCAATCTTTTTTGACAGCATTCCTGCAGGCACACTTACTCCTGTAAAAGATTTGGTGAAATATCAGAACCCCTCTTTAAAATCGAATGACCGTAAAAAGAATCAGTTCCTAAAAATGACAACTTTTAACAATAAAAATATATTTCAATCAACTATGCTAACAGAGGCTACTACCTCTAACAGTTCTCTTGATATCAGTGCTATAAAGCCCAACAAGGATGGATTAGAAAATAAAGCAAACTATGAATCACCGGGAAAAATATTTCAAAGAATGAAAGAAAAAGTACTGCGTGACAAGCAAGAACAGCCACCAAGAAACAGTAGTTTGTTGGAACCACAGAAAAGTGGAAATAATGAAACCTTCACTCCTAACAGAGTTGAAAAAAAAAAATTGCAGCATACCTACCTATGTGAAGAAAAGGAAAACAACAAATCATTCCAGTCAGATAACAGTTCACTAAGAGGTTAGTTTTATGTGTTAGCTAAAAAACTGTAATGTCTTAAGTGTTTAATGTTTCAGACACTGTTTTTGGTACTCAGAATATAGCAGTGAACAAAATGGACAAAAATCCTTGCCCTTGTGTAGCTCACATTCACGTGGTGGAAAGACATAATTAACATATTAAATAAGAATTTTTTTTTTTTTTTTTTTTGAGACGGAGTCTCGCTGTGTCTCCCAGGCTGGAGTGCAGTGGCGCGATCTCGGCTCACTGCAAGCTCCGCCTCCCGGGTTCACGCCATTCTCCCGCCTCAGCCTCCCAAGTAGCTGAGACTACAGGCGCCTGCCACCTCGCCCGGCTAATTTTTTGTATTTTTAGTAGAGACGGGGTTTCACCGTGTTAGCCAGGATAGTCTCGATCTCCTGACCTCGTGATCCACCCGCCTCGGCCTCCCAAAGTGCTGGGATTACAGGCTTGAGCCACCGCGCCCGGCCTAAATAAGAATTTTTATGGCATAGTAGAAGAGGAAAAGTGGAAAGAGAAAAAGCAGAATTAGGATAATGGGAAGAGTTGGAGGGGTATGTAATTTTCAGTGGGGTGGTCAGAGTAAGCTTCAATAATTTGAATTTGGGAATTTGAGCCCACAAAATTGAATATGATGATAGATACGTGTATCTTGAGGAATGGGGAAGGATGATCTAGGCAGCTGTTACAAATGCCTTGAAATCGCATTCCTGACATGTTGCAGGACTAGCTATAAAGTTAGTGTGTCATGGAGCGAGTAGATAGAGCTCAGGAGGAAGGCATAAATAAGAGTGGGTCAGATTATATAAGGGCTTTATAGGTAAATGTAAGAGTTTTGGCTTTTACTGTGAGCAGAATAAGCCATTGGAGGGTTTTGAGCATGTGAATGACAAGATCTAACTTACGAGGTTTTTGTTGTTGTTTTTTAATTAACCATTGTGTACAATGACTTATGTTTTTAAAATATCATTCTGGCTGTTCTGAAATAGAGTTACTGCAGTAAGTCAGATGGCAGCCACTGTTGGCTTGGTTCAGGTGTTAGTAGTGCAGATAGTAAACGTACAGATAGTAAATGGCTGGACTCTGGCTGTGTTTTAAAGGTAGAGCCGATAGGATTAGCTCATAGATTGGGTGTAGAATGTAAAATAAAAAGATGTAAAGGATAGCTCCAGGGTGTTTTTTTGTTTTATGTTTTTGGTTGTGGCCTAAGCAACCAGGAGGGTGATTTAACTGAAATGGGACAAACTGAAGGAGGAATGGAGTGTGAGCTCATTAACTAATATTTTTGTTATGTTAATTTTGATAATCTCTATTAAAAATTTAAATTTAGGTAGGGTGTTGGAAAAAACTAGTTGGAATTTAGGGAATTGATCAAGGTGAGAAAAGTACATTGGGGCATCATTAGCACCTAAATGGTATTTTAAAAGCAATGAGATTAGATGAGGTCATCAAGGAGTAAGTATAGAAAGAAAACATTCAAGATCTGGGTCCTGGGGTACTCCAGCATTTGGAAGGTAGAAGAAAGATTCCCATCACTTTGGGAGGCTGAGGCGGGAGAATCACCTGAGGTGGGGGTTTCAAGACCAGCCAGACCAACACGGAGAAACCCCATCTCTACTAAAAATACAAAATTAGCCAGGCATGGTGGCGCATGCCTGTAATCCCAGCTACTTGGGAGGCCGAGGCAGGAGAATCCCTTGAACCCAGGAGGCGGAGGTTGTGGTGAGCTGAGATCATGCCATTACTCTCCAGCCTGGGCAACAAGAGCAAAACTCCAGCTCAAAAAAAAAAAAAAAAGGTAAAAAGAAGAGTAGAAAGGCCACTGAGAAGATGGTGAGGAAGAAGGAAAACCAGGAGAGTGATACTGTGAAAGCCAAGAGAATGAAGTACTTTAAGGTGGGAGTTGACAGCTGTCTGATGCTCCTAATTGGTCAAGTAGGCTGAGATTCTGCTGCTCGATTTAGCAATGTGAAGGTCATTGGTGACTTTGATGCAGGGCGGCTTTGGTGGAATGGTAGCAATGAAAACATTGCATGAAAGGGTTCAAGAGAGAATGTGACAAGAGGAATTGACAATAGTGAACATAAACAGCCCTTTTTTTGAGGGTTAGAAAGAAATAATGGCAAGTGTAGTTTAAGGTTTTATAATTTTTAATACTTGGTGAAATGCAGCATTTTTATATGCTGTTGGGAATAATGAAGTAGGAAGGAAAAAAATGAAATTGCTAGTATGATGCCCTTCAGTAGTTGAGAGGAAATATAATCCAATGCATCATTAGAGGTATGACCAGAACACAAACAGACCAATTGTTAACAGAAAAGAAAGACATTTATACAGATGTTGGTGGGTTATTATTGTATGACTTCACAAATAATTTAAAATAAGAAGTAAAGTCATCAGCTGAGCAAGTATGGAAAACAGGTATTGAAGTTTGAGGAGGTAGAGGTTTGAATAGTTTGGGAGAGGCCTAAATTTGATTTCCTAGGTAACGCAGAAGATATGTTTAAGATTTGTGGACATGAATTTAAAATGGAACCAGTAAATATGGCTGTGAGTTTTCCTTTGGCCCTGTTTAGCTGCTAAGGTGCTGGTGTAGAATAGGGAGGGAGCTGGATTTAACTGGGTTGTAATTTTGCCAAATAGAATGAAGTGACAGAAGGACAAAGGAGGGTGTGTGTGAAGGAGTCACGATGAAATTTAAGCAGATTAATGAGGGCAAAGGATCTGAAGGAGATGAGGGATTGTGAAGTGTACATTTTGTTTGGATAATCACTGGATTTTGAGAGAATGATCTGGAAAGATGACACTGCAACAATTGAAATTGAGATTTTAATGAGTATCAGTCGTTGATAATGAAAGATATTTTACTTGTATTATCTCTTTTAATCCTTTCAACAAACACTATGGGTGGATACCCATTAGTGGTCTATAAATGGGGATTATAAAGAGAGTAAGTCCGCTTGCTCTATGTCTCATAGGTAACAAGTGATAAGTGGATAATTGAATATAGGTATCTCTTAGCAAGCCCGTGCTCTAAATCACTACACAGTAGGTTGTGGGTATACTGTTGCATTTCCAAGACAGTGACATATTCTAACACAGAGTTTTCTAAGGAAATTTGGGGGTAGAAGTGGGGAGACTCACAGTCATCTGTTTCTCATATAGCCTGGGAGAAAAGGAAGAAGAAATGAAATAATGCATATTAAAGTGTTCAAATATAATAAGGTAGCATTTGAGAGTAAGAAATACCTGAGTGTTCTGAGAATCTGGTGACCCTTTCCCCCAGAAAATATAAACACAAATACAAATACAAATTTTGTATATAGTTTTAGAAACCTTTTAGAGAGTCTGCATGAACCTCGGACTCCCACATAAGTGGATAAATATAACTTGTTGCATTTGATTGAATTACTACTGAATTGCCTTGCCATTTCCAGTAGAATGAGTTAAAGATATAGAAACTTATTGTTTCTTTTTGTGACACGTTGTTATAATGAAATCTTTATGTTAAGATTTCTGAGACCAAAGTGGCATACTTATTAAAGCATAGTCACTACCAGTCTTTTCAAGTATAAGATTTAAAATTAAACATATAAGATAATTCTTCTCAGGCTCAAATTTTAAGTCTATTATCATCCCCTTTTTGTGTGAAAGAAACTACATTCGAGAAACATTAAACTTTAAAGATCTAGGAGGTAAAGCAGAATAAAATGTAAGCAGTACTATTAGTTCTTATTTGTCTAGTTGAGAAACCTACAACTTGTGAGCATTTGAAGACCTACTAAAAATTGTCTAAAGGATATAAATTATGGCTGAGTCTGCTGTTGCGTCTCAGCATTTTAATTTTTAAGGAGTAAGTTACAACTCTTCGACTGTCGACTGTCTTTCATGCTTTAGAAATTCACAGCAACCAGAAACAGAATCGGAATTTTCAAGACTGGGTGAAACTTTATATTGTAATCTTAACATATACATATCCAATTTGTGGCAGCACCAGAATTCCAGGTCTCTAGGTTTCTAAGTCTAATACTTTTGTCTAGAGCTGGCAGGTTGTGTCTTGGAGAAGGTTTTAAAAAATTCTTCCTCACCATAAGGTTGGTATAGAGAATGGGGTAGAGGTATTAGAAGATAATACAGCCAAAAATAAAAAAATATATGTAACTGTCATATATTGCGAAAGTACTATATTGATCTGATCATTACTAAATCTAAGTGTCTGTATTTCAAGAATTTTAAAAGATGTTTTTTTCTTAGTAACTAATACAATTCAACTTCTTCTTTCTTTAAAAAATAAAACCTTAGCCTCGGTCCAAGGAGGTCCTCTAGAATCATCAAATAATGATATTTTCCTCCCAGTCAAACAAAAGATTCAGTGCCAGCAGGAAAAGAAAGCACCACTGCACAATTTAACTTACGGTAAACTATTTTTGGTTTGTTTTTAGTTTGTTACTTAAATATATAGTTAAATGTTCTAGGTAATTATTTTCCTTGTGTGGGCATTAAACTTTGGCTGTAGACAAAAGCTTGAATCGTAAAAGAGACACTCAGAGAAAGACTGGGCAGGAGGGTGGAACATTCCTAACCTAAATTTATCTCTTAGTTTCCTATGATCTTTATATAATTTTTTTGTTTTGTTTTGTATTTTTTGCAGAACTTCCAACTCGGAACCAAGAACAGGAAACTTTTTTGGCTACAGAAGCCCCAAGCAAGAGATTAACTAGAGCTCAGTTGGCTAAACAAATTCTTCAGTCAAAGGAGAATGTAGTTGCAACCACTGGGTCCAAAAAGGACATGTTTGTTTTAGAAGGCATTGATTCTGCTGATGAACAATTTCAAAATACTAATGCTGAGACTCTCAGTACTAATTGTGTTCCTATTAAAAATGGCAGTCTGTTAATGGTTTCTGATAGTGAGAGGACAACAGAAGGGACTTCACAGCAGGAAGTTAAGGAAGGAAATGACAAAACAGTGCCTGGAGAGACAGGTCTTCCAGGTTCCACGGAAGATACCTGTAAAATTGTACTTGCAACACCAAGACTTCATATAACAATACCTCGGAGGTCAAAAAGAAATGTTTCAAAGCTTTCTCCAAGAATATTTCAAACTGTTACAAATGGAGTTAAGAAAAATCAGGTGGGAAAACTTTTAAGACAGATATTTATTTCTATTTTTGCCCCATTCTTCAAGAGCTTGAGCTTTTGATGTTCTCTCATTATTTTTTTTTTCTAGCTAGGATTTGAACCTGTATGCTTTATTATTAACAGTGTCTTCATTATCATGTTTTACTATTTACTGCAGTGACAGGGTGACATAGTGAAAAGAACAGTGAGTTGAATATAAGAAGAGCCACGTGTTAAGTCTTATCTTGCTCTATTACTAATTGTGTAGTCTTCAATGATTTACCTGTTCCCTTTGGTGATGAACATTGAATTCATTCCTACTCTTTTTTTCTGATACGGTACTACTAAAATAGTTAGATCAATTAAGATAGAAAGGAACTGTAGCATCTGAGGATTTGAGAATTTTTCCTAAATTAAATAGAGTAATCAATAAAAGACTTCAGAGCATTGAACTGTTACCTTAGGACAAATTCTCTGAAGGAAGTGGAATGGAAATACAAGCTTAAGGAGGAAGATGCAGTGTAAAATTTCCAATTCTTAAAGGTTTGCCCATTAATTATTTATTTATGTTTGAGCAGGAGTCTTCTTCTGTCACCCAGGCTGGAGCACAATGGCACAATCTTGGCTGACTGCAACCTCCACGTCCTGGGTTCAAGCGATTCTCCTACCTCACCCTCCTGAGTAGCTGAGATTACAGGCACCTGCCACCATGCCCAGCTAATTTTTGTGTTTTAGTAGAGGCGGGGTTTCACCATGCTGGCCAGGCTGGTCTCTAACTCCTGACCTCAAGTGGTCCTCTCGCCTTGGCCTGCCAAAGTGCCAGGATTAGAAGCATGAGCCACGGCGTCTAGCCATTAATTCTTAAATGTATAGTGGTGGTTATCAAATTGAGATGGTGTATAAATTCCATCTAAATTTTAATTAATAATTTTTTAGATGAGGCCTTACTCTGTTGCCCAGGCTGGCCTCTTGGGTTCAAGCAATCCTCCCACTTAAGCCTCCCTTGTAGCCATCTAAATTTTAAAGAGTGACATACCAGTTATGGTTTTATATCTCAATATATTCACTAGAAATCCCATTATTTGAAAATATGTAAACTTTATCTATTTACTTATTTATTTATTTTATTTATTTTGGAGTCTCACTCTGTCTCCCAGGCTGGAGTGTGGTGACGCAATCTCAGCTCACTGCAACCTCCGCCTTCCAGCTTCATGCAAATCTCCTGCCTCAGCCTCCTGAGTAGCTGGGACTACAGGCGCATGCTTCCATGCCCGGCTAAATGTTTTTTGTTTGTTTTTTTTTTTTTGTATTTTAGTAGAGACGGGGTTTCACCGTGTTGCCCAGGCTGATCTGAACTCCTGAGCTCAGGCAATCTGCCCGCCTCAGCCTCCCAAAGTGCTAGGATTGCAGATGTGAGTCACCATGCCTGGTCTGAAAATATTTAAAACTTTTAATGAGAAGTTTTAGATGTTGAGTTAAAAATATGTGAGATGGGTTAAGCAAAAAAGTTTGAAGACAAACTGTTCTAAGAGGCCCCACAGTACTAATTTAGTCATCTGTATAGTGCTATTTATCTCAGTTACCACAAGAAGTCCAAGCTTTCCAAAACTCTTATCCCTATTTAATTCTGAACTTCCACTAATTCTGTCTCAATTTCTCACTCATACCTAACTCTCCATACCTTACATTGTGTCCTTTTGAACTCCAGTTATGTCATCAGCAAAATGTTTTACTGCCAGTCTTCTATGAAGATTTCTTACACTGCTCTAACTAAAATGTGGCTTCTACAAACAACACACTCAAGTGGTGGCTCCTTTTTCTCTCATATCCCACATTCCACTGGACCTAGAGATGACATAAGGTGTAGCTCTGTTGCTCCTCATTGCTACTTCAGGCAGTTTTTTCTTCCTTCTCTCTAAAGCTTCTTTGAAGCACATGCCATAAGACTTTACCAGTTGTATTCATCTGTAACACAACCTCCTAGTCATGACCTTGCATTTCTAAGTATTTGACACCTGTTAGTTTTCCCTCTACTACTTCTGTCATAATCTCCGGTTACGTCTACACTCGTTTAGATGATCCATCCAACTATCTTTTTTTGATAGTCAGTGACCCTTCTCCTACCTTTACCCTCTACCGTATACATTTCCATTGCTTCTCATTACCAAATAAACATGCACTGAATTTTTCAAACATGCCACTCTCTCACTGCCAACTCCTGTAGTTGAGATCATTCCCCCCTAGTACTGTTCCCCTACCCTTCACCGTCAATACTCTGACCCCTCTAAGACAGCGTTCATCCATCAACTCTCATGTCCTCATTTCACTAGTCCATCACTATAACTATTAGAGGTTTTAAGTCTCAACTCTCTTTTTTCCCCGTTTGTCCTCCTCTGGCTAAATGCCAGCCCTGGTTAAATTTAACTGTACAGTCCTGTACCTGACAGCTGGAAGTGGCTAGAGCAAAACACACAACCATATTGGCTTATCTCATTTTAAATTTGACAACAAACCTTAAATGGGCTGTCAGTATTGCCCCATTAGTCCTGGTACATTTCACTTGTCAATCTACTCTCTGACTTTCCTGGAAGAGTAACTCACCTTTTCTCTCCTAAAACCTCCAGATCTTCTCATTCCCATTTCATTGAGAACTTCATAATAATCCCATCAGAAAATCTACCTGCTGCTGTTTTCACATACTCTGCTTTTTCCCTCCTATTAAAATGGATGAACAATTTATGCTCCTTTTCAGAGCCCATTCATTTCCTTTTACCTTAGGTGGTAAGGACATTGCCCTTTCAATTGCCCCGTCAATTTTTTTTTCCTGGATTATGCTCATTAACATATAAACATGTTGAAACATGGCCTGCATTTTTTAAAAACATGCAAAGACCCATCTTTCCTTTATCCCCTGTCCAACTCCAGCTGCTACACTATTTTTTGTTTCCCTTTATATAGCAAGATATTTTGAAAGAGGTATGTGGTTTTAAGTTCTCCATTCCCCCTTGAACAGGTTTCACCTTAGACTATTCATAAAATATCCACTATTTTATGAATATTGCCCTTTCCAAGTTCAGCAGTCATCTCCATAACACCAAATCCAGTGACAGATTCTTATTTATTTTTTTTTGTTTTCTTTTTTTTTGAGACAGTCTTGCTCTTGTCACCCAGGCTGGAGTGCAGTGGTGCGATCTTGGCTCACTATAACTTCTGCCTCTTGGGTTCAAGTGATTCTCCCTCAGCCTCTGGAGTAGCTGGGATTAGAGGTACTCGCCACACCACATCCTGCTAATTGCTCTTTTTAGTAGAGACGGGTTTTCACCACGTTGGCCAGGCTGGTCTCAAACTCCTCACGTGATCCGCCTGCCTCAGTTTCCCAAAGTGTTAATGATTACAGGCATCTTATTATGTCTTTTTTTTTTTTTTTGAGATGGAGTCTTGCTCTGTTGCCAGGCTGGAGTGCGGTGGCGTGATGTTGGCTCACTGCAAACTCTGTCTCCAGGGTTTAAGTGATTCTCCTGCCTCAGCCTCCTGAGTAGCTGGGACTACAGGCACGCACCACCACACCTAGCTAATTTCTTGTATTTTTAGTAGAGATGGGGTTTCACCATGTTGGTCAGGATGATCTCGATCTCCTGACCTCGTGATCTGCCCGCCTTGGCTCCCAAAATGTCTTTTTTTTTTTTTTTTTTTTTTTTTTTTTTTGAGACGGAGTCTTGCTCTGTTGCCCAGACTGGAGTGCAGTAGTGCAATCTCAGCTGACTGCAGCCTCCACCTCCCGAGTTCAAGTGATTCTCCTGCCTCAGCCTCCCAAGTAGCTGGGATGACAGGTGCCCACCACCAAGCCCAGCTACTTTTTGTATTTGGGTAGAGAGGGAGTTTACCAGTTGAGCTGGTCTCAAACTCCTGACCTCAGGTAATCCACCCGCCTCGACCTCCCAAAGTGTTGGGATTACAGGCATGAGCCACCACGCCTGGCCCCATAATGTCTTTCTAAAGAAGTGTGATGCTTTATATTTTGTATTCCAGGATCTTTCCTGATTTTGTGCTACATTGCTGGCCATCCCTTCTCAGTCCCCTTTGCTATTTCCTCTTCCTTTCCCCAGAATCAGTCCTAAAAATGTTGGAATTACTGCAAATCAGCCCTAGAAATGTTTCTCTACCTACACACACTCTCTAGGCTCTATTTCCAGTGTCATAGTTTTAAATTCCATCTCTATGCTGATAGCTCTCCAATATGTTTCCAGCACAGAATATTCTTCTCAACTCTACACTCATGTGCAGTTGTCTGTATGACTTTTCTATTGATATCAGATAGGCATCTCAAATTTGAAATGTGAGAAAACGTGAGATTCTCATTCTTGATTTCTTTACCGTACCTTCTCCATTGTCCTGTATTGGTACCAATTGTAATACTTTTGGCCCCAGTATTTAGGCAAAATTTTTAGATTCATCTTGGACTCTTGTTTTTCTCTGATGCTCCACATCCAAACCATGAGGAAATCCCATTGACTCTACTCTCCTGAATGTGGCCTCTTCTCGCTGTTCAACCACTACCTCCTAGTCCAGGGATGACTGTCATAGCCTAGTGGTCTCCCTGCTTCCAGTATTGCTTTTCTCCTTTTTCTCCTTTTTCCAGACAGAAGCTAAAATCTTAATATAGTCTCATCTCTACCCAGTAGTCCCTTAAAATATCAAATGTCATTCTGTTCAGAATCCTCCAGTAACTTGTCATCTCAATAGAAAACACTAAGCCTTTACCATGGTTTATGGAGCTGTACTTAGTTAATCCTGGAGATCTCCAACCTCACCACTTATTCTCTGTCACTTACTCCTTTCATATTATGCCTTCCATGCTGCCTACCTGGGTCTTTGCGCTAACTCTCTGTGCTTAGAAGAATCTTCTTGCTGATATCCATGTGACTCATTCCTCACTTTATTCAGTTCCCTCTTCCTAGACATTCTCTAACTGTTTTGTCTTAAAAAGCACCTCATTTATCTAATACCTTATATTTATTTTTCATAGTAATTATCACCACCTGACATTTTCATATTTGTTTAGATGCCATTATCCTGCTTGCCTCCACCCCCTACCCCAACACACACACAAGAATGTTGAACCTAAGAGAGGCAGCTGTTTAGTTTCTCACTGAATCTCCACTATCTAAAACATTGTGTAGAACTCAACAAATATTTGTTGAATGAATAATGAATGAACATTTTGATATATAAGCAGTATATAAGCTGTATAATAGTATGGTACAGGATTATTATCTCCATCTGACTGGTGCGTTGATATATCTCAGGTAGTTCCAAATGTGGGAGAAGGTAAAAAGAGAGTAGTATTTACTGCTGCTTCCCCAAGTCCTACCTATAATTTTTTACTTTTTTCAGAAAGAAACATTTAAAAGGGGCTTAAAAGCAGAAGCCATATCTGTGTCTTGGGTGAGGGTAAGACAAGATGGTGGATCCCCTCGCCATTACTACTGAGACCCACGGCTTATAAACCATCCTACTTACAATTTTTTATTTTGATGTATTTGCTTCTTGAGGGTCTTGTTCTGTCATCTGTTGAGGCTCACTGCAGCTGAGGCTCAAGTGATCTTCCCACCTCTGCCTCTCCAGTAGCTGGGACTATAGATGTGTATCACCACACCCAGCTAATTTTTTAAATTTTTTGTGGAATCTTACTATGTTGCCCAGGCTGGTCTTGAATTGCTAGGCTCAAACGTTCCTCCCGACTTGGCCTGCCAAAGTTCCGAGATTACAGGTTTAAGCAACTGTCCCCAGCCGTCATTTATAATTTTTTAAATGGACATAATTGACATGTGCCATAACAAAGACTGTCCCATTTTAATGTTTTTTCCTGATTCAGTATAAAACTACAGCTAGATAATTTGTTTTTATTTGTAAATGTGTAACTTTATATATAATAAATTGCTACTCAAATTATTCCATAAATTTTGACTTTTTTCTCATCAAAAGTAGTTCAATTTTAAATTTTATGAAATGTATATACAGTAATTTTTTTGCATAGATTGTCATAAAATGTGTTCCATTAGAATGATATTTTACTTGTAGTAAGGTAATAAGGAGTTCTCTGAGCTATTCAGATGTTTACTTTGGAATAAAATGCTGTTAAATCTAGATTACCAGCAGTCACCTTTTTAGTTTGTAGAAAATTGGAATACAGGTCTAAACTTTAAAAAAAAACAAAAACAAAAACAAAAAAAAACCTCTAATTTTTTAAGGACAAAACATAACTGACTGCTTTTCACTCCAAGTTATTGGGCTTTTTGCAGGACTTGGTGTTTTAATCTGTACCTTGGAATTTTACAAGATTTTTTTTCCCCACCAGTTGAAATTCGATAATAGAATATTTGAAGTATAATTGCTTCTTGATTGTAGAACAAATGCAGTACAACCTGAATTCATTCTTTTCTGTTTCATTGTATACAAGAATTTTACCTATTGCTATTTAGAATAGAATGTGAATCTTACATCGATGGCACTAAGGAATATTTGGATTACTTAGACAAGTTTTTTCTTTTACTGTAAGTTAATTTTGTAATGCTCGTGCTGCAAGTAATACAGGAAATATGTTCTTTGTTTTATACCTGATTAGATAGTTCAGCTACAGGAATGGATGATTAAAAGCATCAATAATAATACTGCTGTATGTGTAGAAGGAAAATTGATGTAAGTATACTATTTCAGTATTCTTTTAGTAAAACTTTAGTTATGTGTAAGCACTTAAGAGGTGATGCATGAGAAATAGCATCCTCCATAAAACAATGACCTAACAAGGTTATGAACTGAAGGCAAAAAAGTAAAATTACTGTGCAGGTCCTAGCCGTGTTGATTGCTACCAGCTTTTTTGTTTTTGCATGTGTACTCAAGTTATTTTTAAAATAGTGACAGTGTTAATTTGTATAGTGCTTTTTTTTTTTCTGAGGTGCTAATAAGTGGACTGGTATTATCTGCTTAATTATATATGATCAGTTAATATTTACTACATGCATTTCAGTCCAGATTCTTATATCTAAATTGGGACAACCAGATATAAATTACTGATCCAGAAAAGGAATCAAAATTACTTAAAACTTTGCCATACAGCTACATATTAAGTAATCATTGGCACTTTCTGGTTCTCCCTAAAGTGAGAGCATCACCAGGTAAGTGGGCTTTACCTAATTCTGCTACTCTATTAGCACCATTTCCTATTCTTCAAGGCCAGTTTCTTAGTGCTACAAATATTTGTAATGAAATGTAATAACTCTTCTCCAGCCTTGGTGACAGAGCGAGACTCTGTCTCAAAAAAATAAAAAATAAAAATAAAAAATTATAACTGTTTAAGGTACTTATGTAAGTTTATAAGTTGAATGTGTAAAATCTGTATTGTCCATTCTTTATCTGTCTGCTTTGTGCACATTTCCTTACTATTAAAGATGCAGTGTAGATTGCCTTTGTTGGAATTCCATTGCTGCTGCCTACTATCTGTATTACCTGGGCAAGTTATTTATCCCGTCAGTCTGTTTCTTCATCTGTACAATGTGGATAATTGTATTACTTACCTTGTTAGTTGTGCTGAGGATTAAATGAAAGGCTAGAGAACAGTGCTTTTAGAATGTTATTTAAATGTTTCTTAAATAAGTAATTAAAGCAAAAAAGAATTGAAGAGAAATAATACTGTATTAAGGTATAATATATGAGTTTAATCCTAGTTGACCAAAGAAAAGTAACTTGATTTCCTTATTCATCATGCTTATCATTAGTATGTTTATTATTATCAGTTACCTGATGAATGGGACAGTATTATCATTTATCTAATACATCTTCATATTTTTTTCTATTTCATATTTATTCTTTAAAGAAATATGAAGAATAGATTTATGGGTCAGTGATTTGATACGGTAATTTCTTTTTTCCTCACTTAAACCTCTTTTGGTACCTTCCAAAATGAAAGGTAAAAACATTTGGCTGTATAGCGAGGGTGAAAAAACACCAGATTAGCTGGATCCAATCTACTTTTCTGCATAAAAACTAACACAGTATAGACCCTGAAGGAGAGGGACAGGGAGATCATCCTTTGGAAGCTTAGCATCAGTTAAGCTGAAGCTGCAAGTATTTATTGCCAGCATCAGATACTGAGACAAGGCCTCTGCTCCCTTACTAATAATATTTTGTAGAAGGGACATGGTTTGGCCACAGTATAGTTTTTTTGGTACAATATTGGGATTACAATAGCTAAGCAGTTGAGTTCTGCTTTAATGTTTGGCCCTCAAATATTTTGTAATTAGACTAACAACATTGTTAGTGTTGCTGTAGCTAGAGTGTGAAATTATTTTCTGTTAGAAATTTCTGTATGAATATTTGACCTTATCAAAACTATTTTTTTTCCTAGAGATATCACTAACATATATTGGCACAGTAATGTGATTATAGAGCGGATTGAGCACAACAAACTTAGGACTATATCAGGCAACATTTATATATTAAAAGGCATGATAGACCAAATTTCCATGAAAGAAGCAGGTAAATGACTGTCATTATTGATAAGTTATTTTAAGAAGTAAAGCAGTTAATCATGTTTCTCACAGTAATACACATTTTTTAACTTTTTAATTAGGTATTTTATAATTATGAATAAATCAAAACTAAAAATTAACTAATATGTAAAACTTGTATAAAATTGGTAATTTTTTCTGATTTTTATCACTCTTCTTGACAATTTCTAATAAGTTATGTGATTTTTTTTTTTTTTTTTTGGGAGTTGGAGTCTTGCTCTGTCTCCCAGGCTGGAGTGCAGTGGCACAATCTCGGCTCACTGCAACCTCCACCTCCGGGATTCAAGTGTGATTGTTCTGCCTCAGCCTCCTGAGTAGCTGGGACTACAGTTTCTGCCACCATGCCCAACTAATTTTTGTATTTTTAGTAGAGATGGGGTTTCACCAGGCTGGTGCTGTGCATGACCACTTCCAACATGGCACAAAAAAATGATGCAATAGCAACTGCAGGTAGCTGTGGATAAATAAGCCTGCAACAACACCCGTGGTTTCCTGTGGCCAGTCCTTTTCATGCACAGGATCCACATACACCCCCAGGGAATGGACACAGAGTGTTAAGAGGTTTGGGAATTTTTTTTTTTTTTTTTGGAGTCTTGCTCCGTTGCCCAGGCTGGAGTGTAGTGGCATGATCTCAGCTCACTGCAACCTCCACCTCCTGAGTTCAAGCGATTACTTGTGCCTCAGCCTCCTGAGTAGCTGGGACCACAGGCATGTGCCACAACGTCCAGCTGATTTTTGAGACAGTGTCACCATGTTGGCCAGGCTGGTCTTGAATTTGTGACCTTAGGTGATCCACCCACCTCAGCCTCCCAAAGTGCTGGGATTACTGGCGTGAGCCTCTGCGCCCCGCCTGATTTGTGTGAGTTTTAAAATATCAAATGAAATACTCCTTGTTTACAAGGAAATATGTTATAAGAATATAATTTAACTCCCTGATTCCTCTCTTTGTTGAACCTACCTGGCACAACCCCAGTCCTGGTGTAACCTGATTTTCTACCTATGCCTTGCACACAGCTGAATATAACTGGAGAAAAACACATCCAAGTAGTCTAAATTTATGTTTACTAGCAACAAGTTACAGTCCCTTAGTGGTTTCTTGGTGCTGCTTGGTATCCTACCATATTTCCCTAATTCATTCACTCTCCTGTCCTTCCTGATGACTCCTTCATATTTTGAGAAATCTCCAATACCACCTCCTTATTACCCTCTCTCAGGTGGGCAAAGTAGGGAGAGGGCAGAGCACCTGAGCAAGAGGAACAATCAGAAGGATATTTCTTTACCACGTCTACTCACCTGCTTGGATCAGCACCGGCTTTTATTATGGATGAACTAGCATGTTACTGTCTGTCAGCCTCTCCATTTGTACACTAGCTGTCATTTTCTCTTTTACTCAAGGACGTTATTCCAGTAACACTCCCTTCTCCTTTTTTTTTTTTTTAAATTTCTGTTTTACCCACATTTCTCCTTTTAGCCAGTATTACTCTCATTTGTAGCAAAACAACTCATATAGTTTGTTTATATTTACTTCTGTAAATCTAATTTCTCTTGAATTTTCTTCCATTTTTTTTTCTTGAACTCTCTTTAACCTCCCCGGTTCTTCACCAAAACAACCCGTATCAAAGTCACCAGTGGCCTCCACATTGCTACATTCAGTATACACTTAACAGAGTTAATCATACTTACCTTTTTGAAATACTTAGTTTCTCTAATACCATATTCCAATTTCTGTGCTGCCTCACTGCCTGCTCCTTCTTAATTTCTTTGTGTATTTCTCCATTTTTTTCTAATAATGGGGTAGCTTGGGGCTGTTAATACACTCTGTGGTATGCTGATTCCTTTTAGTCTTTAAATATAATTTATATGATGATGAATGCGAATTTTATATCTCAAAGCAGGACCTCTCCCGTTAGTACCCAATTCGTTTTTGATATCTCCACTAGGATGTCTGTGGGCATTTCAAACTTAATATATCTAAAACCTGATCTTTTCCCTTAAATTTGCTAAACCTATAGTATTCCCCATCTTTCCATGTATCAGTAGCCAGAATTCTTGGAGGCATCCTTAAATTCTCCATTTCTCTCATACCCACATCAGTGTGTGGGTCAGTACATCCTATTAATGTATCTCCAAAATATATCCCAAACTGAGACCTCTGCAGCATCACTATAGTCCAGACTTTCCTCATAATTTGTCTGGATCATTACAGTGGCCTCCTAACTGGTCTCATTCTTTCTTTCCTCACTCTTCCACAGGCTCGTCTCAAAACAGCAGTTTGCTTTAGCAGTCCTGTTAAATAAATTAGATCCTATAGCCCCTCTGCTTGGAATCTTTCCATAGCTTCTCATCTTGTCCAAAGTAAATGGCCAGTTCTATAATGACTCTAAGGCCGTATATTATAATCTCTCATGCTTCTTACTGCCTCTGTTGCCCATGTGAGTGGCCTCCCAAGTTCTAACCCCTCCTCATGCCACTTCAGTTGTTTCAAACAGGCCAGGTATACTCTTGCCTTGCACTTTATGTTTTGTGTCCAGTATTCTAACCCCATATTACTGCATAGCTCAATCAGTTTGTTCAAATGATGCTATTTCATTGAAGACTTCCCTGATTATCCTTTTTTAAATTGCTGTTTACCCCTCTACTCCCCCATGAACATATCAATACACCTATCCGCCCATCCCTGCATAACCATCTAACAAACAATATATTGTACTTATTGGTTAGCTTTTTTTTCCACATTAGAAGGCAAGTTCCATGAGGATAGGAGTTTTTGTCTGCTTTGTTTACTGCTGAATTCTGAATATCTATAATAAATAGTACCTAGTGCATATTAAGCAATAAGTGCATATTTCTTGAATGATTTAATGAATTAATTATATCTCTTTAAAATTCTAGGCTTTTAAATACTTTTGTTGTTGTTTATCCTTAAATAGGGTATCCAAATTATCTCATAAGGAAATTTATGTTTGGATTTCCAGAAAATTGGAAAGAGCACATTAATAATTTTCTGGAACAGTTAAGGTAAAATGTTGTTTTATGTTTTTAGAAGTCAACTTTATTGAGATACCTTTACAGTTTATTATGTGTGTGCATAATTTACATTTAATTATGTGTGTGCCACCATGTCCAGCTAATTTTTGTATTTTTAATAGAGATAGGGTTTCGCCGTGTTGGCCAGGCTGGTCTCGAACTCCTGCCTGGCTGCAAGCGATCCACCTGCCTCAGCCTCCCAAAGTGTTGTGATTACAGGCATGAGCCACTGTGCCTGGCCTGAGGTACAGTTTACATTTAATTAAATTCACCTGTTTAGATATTTGTTTGTTTGAAATACCATTTTTTTTTTTAATTTTTATCTGAGATGGAGTCTCACTCTGTCACCCAGGCTGGAGTGCAGTGGCAGGATCTCGACTCACTGCAAGCTCCACCTCCCGGGTCCCATGCCATTCTCCTGCCTCAGCCTCCCGAGTAGCTGGGACTACAGGCGCCCGCCACCACGCCTGGCTAGTTTTTTGTATTTTCAGTAGAGACAAGGTTTCACCATGTTAGCCAGGACGGTCTCGATCTCCTGACCTCGTGATCCACCTGCCTTGGCCTCCCAAAGTGCTGGGATTACAGGCCTGAGCCACTGCACCCGGCCGAAATGCTAGCTTTGAAGTTTGCTTTGGTCTGTGAAGCATTTCAGAAGCAATAACATTTTACTAGAACTTCTGTCGAATTTAGTAAATCTCAAAGGAAAATAAAACTTTTGACATATGTCAAAGTAATTCTTAATCATTTACCCTTCAAAAGGCATGCAGTTATTAAATACTAATGTGCAGTTCTTCCTTCTTTTTTTCATTCATTTTCTCAGTAGTTATGGAGTGTCTGCTACTTTACAGACACTCTAGTTGATGCTGGTGAAACAAGAATTTGATTTATTCTTGCCCTTGTGGAACTCATAAGGGATACAGACTTTAAACTTAATCACAGCACAAATATAATAATTGATAACGGGGGCTGGCATTTTTTTTCTGTAAAGGGCATATTCTGTAAAGATAATATTCTTGCGGGCATATTGCCTCTATTGCAGCTATTCAGCTCTGCCATTGTAGCAGAAGAGCAACCATAGATAGTATATACATGAATTAGCATGGCAGTGTTTTAATAAACTTCATTTACAAAAACAGGCAACTGGCAGTTGTCCTATAATATCAGTTTAAGTAGGAATTTTAAGAGCATCTAGTGGGAAGCAGTTTGCAGATCATATTTGAGTCCTTTGACTTAAGCTGTTACACCTCAGTTCTTTGTGAAGGAAGGGAGTGGAAGCCATGAAGGATTAATAATGTAAGATTAAAAATACCCTGCCTGGGTAGAAAGAGCTTTATGGAATGGGTTTTTATTTGTTTATGAAGATTTTGTTTTGTTTTTTTGAGAATCAGTGCTAAGGAAAAATAATATAATTGTTTTTAGGGCTGGTGAAAAGAACAGGGAGAAGACGAAACGAAAACAGAAAATTGGAAGATCTGTTCGTGACATAAGAAAATCAATGAAAAATGATGCACAAGAAAACCAAACAGATACCGTTCAAAGAGCCACCACCACTTATGATTTTGATTGTGATCAATTGGGTATGTTTTGTCTTTACTTCTCTGCTGGTACAGTGGTAAGTTCTTACATGGTCTAAATTGTTTATGGTTTGTAATGTGTATAGTATTGTGTTCTTTGACTTATACTGCCCCCACATTCCTGCTTCTTCACTACTAAATGAGAAGTAACTATAATACAAATTAATCATGGTCAGTATTCAGCTTGCTTCATCAAATTTCACCTTTGGCTGGGCCCAGTAACTTATGCCTGTAATCCCAGCATTTTGAGAGACTGAGGTGCAAGGATCGCTTGAGCTCAGGAGTTCGAGATCACCCTGGATAACATGACAAGACCCTGTCTCTACTAAAAGTCAAAAAAAATAGCCTCCCATGGTAGCACATACCTGTGTTCATATCTTCTTGAGAGGCTAAAGTGGGAGGATCGCTTGAGCTCAGATGGTTGAGGCTGCAATGAACCGTGTTTGTGCTACTAGACTCCAGTTTGGGCATCGGAGTGAGACACTGTCTCAAAAAATAATAATAATAATAATTACCTTTTTATTAATCAGAATATCAAAGAACACTGGTAAACATATTAATGAAAGATGATTGTTCTTTTAATTTCCTCGACCCAAAGTATTTAAGCTGCCAACCTACTGCAGACCTATTGTAAAGACATATTTTATTTTTGTACTAAATTTCATTGCTCCAAATAGGCAAAATCTGTTTCCTTTCATGGAGGAAATGGAATTGAAGAAAATGGTTTTCTTGAATGACCATTGCCATAAGGATAGATTGCAGAACTGTTTTTTTTTTTTCTCTTTTTTAATAAGGAGACCAACTTGCCAGAGCAGAACTGTTTTGTATCAGCTCTTTGCCATCACTATAATCTGCTTCACCTGTGTAAAAATGTATGAACATTAAATTACAGCTCTTTCTAAACAATATAGATGAGTAAAAGTTACTAAAATATGTTGTAAACATTTCTGCTGATTTTGCCTTAACCTTGTAACTAAGAGCTTTACAGAACTTCCAAAACTTGAAAAAGAGTTCAAGAATCCTGCCAAAAACATAGCACCATACTGGATATAAATGTACCTGTATCCTATTCTAACCACTCCTCAACCCCCATTTGAACTTCCACCCTGAAACTTTGCTTATCCTTTCTAATGCAGAGAAAGGAATAAATTAAATATGCAGATGGCTGCTTCCCCATAGCTAGCAAAAAGTCACTTACCATTGCCCTAGTTCCTTCTGAACCCTTCCTCTTTTTATCAAAAGTCATCCTATTTTCCCTAAATTAGGCATATTGCTTGAGCATCTTGAGTATGCTGGAACCTTGGGGCTTCAGCACCTGCTCTCTACTTTTTTACTCCTAAAACAAGAGAATCTTTAACAGTATATCTCACTTCTAATCATTTATTAGTCTTTAGTCTTGGTTCTTTTTTTTTTTTTTTTTTTTTTTTTTTTGTGAGACGGAGTCTCGCTCTGTCTCCAGGGCTGGAGTGCAGTGGCCAGATCTCAGCTCACTGCAAGCTCTGCCTCCCGGGTTCATGCCATTCTCCTGCCTCAGCCTCCCGAGTAGCTGGGACTACAGGCGCCGCCACCTCGCCCGGCTAGTTTTTTTTTTTTTATTTTTTAGTAGAGACGGGGGTTTCACCATGTTAGCCAGGATGGTCTCGATCTCCAGACCTCGTGATCCACCTGTCTCGGCCTCCCAAAGTGCTGGGATTACAGGCTTGAGCCACCGCGCCCGGCCCTAGTCTTGGTTCTTATCTCTTCCTGTACCCCATTTCACTTAGAGCCAGCACTTATTAGGGATTTGATCTTAATTGCGAATATTATCAGTGAGGTGTTTAAGAAAGCTAGTGGCAAGAGAAATGAATAAAAATTTAAAAGACTAAAGTTTGATAACTATTTTACATACCAGCTTATCAGCTGTGTCCATAGGAAAATCACTCAGCTCTTTTTTTTTTTATTTTTATTTTTTGGAGATAGTGTGTTGCTCTGTCTCCCAGGCTGAAATACAGTGGTGCAATCATGGCTCACTGCAGCCTTGACCTCTTTGGTTCAAGTGATCCTCCCACCTCAGCCTCCAGAGTAGCTGGGACTCCCGGCATATAGTACTGCACCTGGTTTGTTTTTTATTTCGTGTAGAGATGGGGTCCTACTATGTTGCCCAGGCTGGTCTCCTACTCCTGGCCTCAAGCAGTCCTCCCACCTTGGCCTCCCGAAGTGCTGAGATTATAGACATGAACATAGCACCTGGTGTCAACATTTTTAAAGTGCTTTCCATGAACCTTGGTCTGTTAAGTTTTAGGAACTTAGAGATGAATAAGGCATGATTCCCGCCCCTCCTACCCCCACGGATCTTAGTTTAGGGGCAAATATTAATGTATTCTGTTAGGATTATATCATTTTTCTAGTGTGAATCATTAAATCTTTGTTTAATGAAACTGTTAGACACTATCTTCATATCACATAAGTTATTTTGAGTGGTGGTTGGTTGGGGCTGTTATTAATTTTATTATCATTGCACTTTGCATGAAAAAAACAAAACCACAACTAACATTATATAGCTAAGATTATGTAAAGGTACCAACCTGAATTAATTTAAGATAATGTAATTTTATGTATGTGTTTTAATGATTTGCCTAAAAAGTACTTGTATATCATATTATTGCTCTTAAAGCACTCTATCTCTGTTATTACACTTACCAGAGTATATGATAAATGACCTATCATAATAGAAGCCTCCTTCATTATATGGTAATATTTTCAAGAGCAAAGACTAGTCAGTACACTTTTAAAGTATAGCTTCTAGAAGAATAACAAAAATGTTTTTATGCTTTTTATGAATCTGTTTTAACTTACCTAGAATTCCAGCTTAGTAACTGTTTGTTGAGCGTATATTATATACTGTATAATTTAGTTTTGCTCAAAATTTTAATTACAGAAATTTAGTTATACATTGGAGTACACAAACTAGTTGAAACATTAACTTACATTAACTACACACATGAAGAAATAGAAGAGGAACAGTTATTAGCTTTGTATTTATTTGATGTGCAGTTAGGATGAACAGGAATTTTTATTTACAAAATGGATTAACCTTACTATTTTGTCTTTAGATGTGACTAGGAAGATCCAAAACAGATGGTCATGAATAATACGGCTGTCTAGGCTTTTTAAATTTTTTTTTGAAGGAAAAAAAGTGATTTGAACAAAATATAGCCCTATACAGAGTGATTCTGTCCAAATAAAATTGCTTTATATCCTCGTCAAATTATAACAAATATTTATGACAGAGGGATTAGACAGATTATCATTATTATTTCTGAGACAGGGTGTTGCTCTGTCACCCAGGCTGGAGTACAGTGGCACAATCACGGCTCACTGCAGCTTCGACCTCTCTGGCCCAAGCGATCCTCCCACCTCAGGCTCCCAAGTATCTGGACCATAGGCATGCCCCAACCTTTTATTTTTTGTAGAATCAGTATATCACTATTTTGCCTAGGCTAGTCTTGAACTCCTGGGCTCAAGCAGTCCTCCTCCCTTGGCCTCCCACAGTGCTGGGATTACAGGAGTGAGCCACCACACCTAGCCTCAAAGTTAATTCTTCATGTAGAAAAGCAGCTTCCCTTTTATGTAACCATTTATTGAAATCTCCATCTTTGTACTCATAGAACTGAAGAGTAATAAGCACAGTGAGTCGCCAGGAGCTACAGAATTAAACATGTGCCACAGTAATTGCCAAAATAAACCAACATTAAGGTTCCCAGATGACCAAATAAATAATACTATTCAAAATGGAGGAGGAGATGACTTACCTAATCAGGTAAGGCTTTATTGTACACTGTATAGTACAAGCTGATATTTAGAGGGGTGATTTACTACTGAAAAGGTTTGCAACCATATCAGGGACATGAATTCTGTTTTTTTTTTTTTCTTTTGAGATGGAGTCTCCCTGTTGCCCAGGCTGGAGTGCAGTGGCGTGATCTTGGCTTATTGCACCCTCCGCCTCCTGGGTTCAAGTGATTCTCCTGCCTCAACCTCCACCTCCTGGGTTCGAGTGATTCTCCTGCCTCAGCTTCCCGAGTAGCTGGGACTACAGGCGTGCGCCACCACGCCTGGGTAATTTTTGTATTTTTAGTAGAAGCGGGATTTTACTATATTGGCCAGGGTGGTCTCAAACTCCTGACCTTGTGGACCCACCTCAGCCTCCCAAAGTGCTGGGATTATAGGCGTGAGCCACCACACGTGGCCATGAGTTCTATTTTTCAAGTATCAGCTTTTCATTAACTTGGGGACTGAATGTCTTGATATTTATTTTCCATGTCTCTCAATGAAAAAATGCAGGCAACAATAAAAGTTTTAGCTTTTAGAGTAAAGCTTAAATAAAGCATATTTTTAAAAGCACTTGAAAAACCACAAAGTGTTAAATTAATATAGAAAATATGTAAGATAATGGATACCCAGATGTTGCTTGTAGCACTCAGGGTCTGGCAACTGGATTTCTGACTGTGTCCACTAATGAAATTTGTGGAACTGTAAGTACCTAGAAATTTGTATGCTTGATGCATACTATGAAAATGCTTCAGATCATGTTTAGGTAGCAGTTTTAAAATAAAACCTAGGTATCTTTTTGTTTTGAAGGAATTAATTGGAAAAAAAGAATATAAAATGTCTTCAAAGAAACTAAAAATTGGTGAAAGAACAAATGAAAGGATAATAAAAAGTCAGAAGCAAGGTAATATATCTTTAATGGTTTTTTTAATGATAAGCAGAAAGCTACTATTTGAAATGTTTTTAATATGATAAAAGTGATCTTGTAAATTTCCTCATGTAAAATGGCAAATTATATAATGGTTTTAAATGTTTGGTTTTGTTATTTTTACATAAGATGATTTTCATAATAAAATAGCCCTTTTAAAAACCATCTATACTTACAGGTTTGCCTTCTTTAATCTGGGTACTAAAATATTTGTTTAGATCACAAAATTATATATCATTTAAAATACGCTTACAGGAATGTGTAAAGAGTGAATCCTTTTATGAATTTACTACAATAATTTAGTTTCAAGTGTGGATTTTCAGAGTGATTTAATTGGAATCTTGCATGCTATAATTTACAGCCTTTCCTCTAAACATTAGCAAGTTTACAGTTTCATGTTGAGCTAAATCCATTCGTTTTATAGCATTTTTTCTGTTTTATTTCCTCTTATAAGTAAAAAGAAGTGAAAGTGAAGAACATTTATTTGTTTGAAGAAGATAGGAAAGCAGTGCTGCTTTATACTTCCGAGTTCATACTCGGTTAAAGTATCCAAGATAGCTGGATCTTTATTAAATAATTTATTAAAATTAACAAATACTCTGGAAATATTGTTCAAAATTAGAATGTTGAAAATTTTCAAATTCCCAATTGAACATTTGAATTGGATTTATATGAGAAGTTAGAAGAAAATACTTTTCTCAGAATTTGAAGATATATGATGCCAGTGGAAAATCTTGCAGACACTTTCTAAATTATTTTGATTAGTACCTTTTTCCATGGATTGTAATTTAGAGGCTTCTTTTCTCCCCAGCATTCAGTATTATCTATCAGTCTCATTTTGTCAGTCATCTTGTAAACAATAATATATGGAGGTTGTTGTAATATGTTTCTATGACAGTGGGATGATTTGCAGTTTATATGTATTTCTAATTACAGTTGGATAGTTTCAGTTAATTTGACTTCTCATTACTTAGGTTTTGAATTGATGAATTGTTCTCATTTTAATTTGCTTTCTTTAATGACAAGGTATAATATAAGATTCTCAGGTTGTTCTGTTTTGCTTGTTTTGTACTTTATGGTGTTTGGGGGGATTCATTTTGAGTGTGTTTCTATGACCACCATTGGCGATAAAAGTGGAACCATGCAGAGGAAGTTCCATGTCCTCCTAACTAGCAGAGCCCATATAATGTATACTTAGTAAGGTTTCAGTGACTACTGGTTTTCTTATATCTTCTGAATATTTTACCTCCAGGGCTTTGATTTAACAAGTATTTACTTATTGCCTACTGTATATGTGAAAGGCTCTGTACTAACTCCGGCAAAAAAAAAAAAAAAAAAATCAAACCATACAGATAAAGTTCTAACCATTAATTATTTTTGCCAGTCTGATTGAAAGACAAGTGTGCAGTTATAATACATGTCTCACTGTCAAACATGGCATTATTTTAAAGTATTCTGGAAACTTGAAGAAGAGCTTTCATTCAGTATAGGGAATGTGTACAAGTTTGTACACTAGGTGGGTTAGAGAATAAAATCGAAGCAGGTAGTGATTTTGTTTATAGATGAATGAAGAACATTTTCAAAGCAGAGTGGACATTAATGAAAGTAGAGAACCAAGAAAATCTGAGGAATTGCGATTTTTGTGGTTCTGAACATAGAATACAGTGGAGATTTTGACAACAGTGAGAGATTGGAACTATGTGGAAGGCCAGGCAAAGGAGCTTATTTATATGTCTACTAAAAGACTGTGAGAAGTCACTGTCAGGTTTGTATAAACAATAGTATATGTTTACAGTTGAAGGGGCAGTGGTCTGAATAGACCTGGGCTTCAGAAAGATCAAAATGACAGGAGGTTATACAGTGTAGCTTGTGTATAAAAATAGTGTCTTTTCTCTGTGAAAATATATTTTCTGTGCTTATATTTGTTTATAACTAATTTGAGATTTTGGTCTTTGGTTTTGTCTTATGAAATTAAAGAGACAACTGAAGAATTGGATGTATCCATTGATATTCTAACCTCAAGGGAACAATTTTTCTCAGATGAAGAAAGAAAATACATGGCCATCAATCAGAAGAAAGCTTATATTTTAGTAACACCACTTAAATCTAGAAAAGTGATAGAGCAAAGATGCATGAGGTATAATCTGTCCTCTGGCACCATTAAAGCAGTAACAGATTTTGTAATACCAGAGTGTCAAAAAGAAAGTCCCATCAGCAAGTCCACGGAGACTTTAGAAAATACATTTGAAGGTCATAAAAGTGAAAACAAGGAAGATTGCAATGAACGTGACTTACTTACTGTCAACCAGAAAATAAAAATATGTAACCTTGAAAAGGAACAAATGCTCACCTCTGACATTAAGAAAAATACCAGACTATTACCAAAATTGAAGAAAATAGAAAATCAGGTAGCTATGTCATTTTATAAGCATCAGTCCTCACCAGATTTGTCAAGTGAAGAAAGTGAAACAGAAAAGGCAATTAAAAGGAAAGCTGAAGTTAAAAAAACCAAAGCAGGAAACACCAAAGAAGCAGTGGTTCACCTGAGAAAGAGCACAAGAAACACAAGTAATATTCCAGTGATTTTGGAACCTGAAACTGAAGAAAGTGAATATGAATTTTATATCAAACAAAAGAAAGCTAGACCTTCCGTCAAAGAAACTCTTCAGAAGTCTGGTGTTAGGAAAGAGTTTCCAATTACTGAGGCAGTAGGATCTGATAAGACAAATAGGCATTCCTTAGAATGTTTACCTGGTTTAATTCAGGATAAGGAATGGAATGAGAAGGAGTTACAGAAACTTCATTGGTAAGTAGTTAGATTTCATTCTGAAATATCTACAGAGCAGCCACAAGACAGTTAAAGACATAAAAACAGCAATAAGGGGTTAACATGGAAGATGTCATCAAAAGAATTGGGAGAAATTACAATTTGTACAGGGAATGGAGATAGAATACAGATAACTTCTAGTGGTATTTTGTGGTCATCTCTAGTATGAGGAAATTATGAGGAAAGCCTAAGTATGAGGAAAGTAAAAGTGACCTTCTTTCATTCCCATATAATATTTCAAGATAGCCAAATGGTACTCTCTCACGTAACTTCATGTTTTAAGAAATTTGTTGTTTTATTTTGTTTTGTTTTGAGTCTTGCTCTGTCGCCCAGTCTGGAGTGCAGTGGCGCAATCTCGGTTACTGCAACCTCTTCCTCCCGGGTTCAAGCGATTCTCCTGCCTCAGCCTTCTGAGTAGCTGGGACTACAGGCACACGCTGCCATGCCTGGCTAATTTTTACATTTTTAGTAGAGACAAGGTTTCACCATGTTGGTCAGGCTGGTCTTGAACTCCTGACTTAATGATCCATCCACCTTGGCTTCCCAAAGTGCTGGGATTATAGGCATAAGCCACCGGACCCGGCCTAACAAATGTTTTGTAATTAACTTTACTGTTATAAAACCTTAAAGCTGAATTCAAATTTGTAGGTTACTTGATGTCTTTTGCCTTTATAGGGAATAAAATAGAGTTTCAAATTGATGATTTTTTTCCAAGGTTTTATATTTAGAACAGAAATTCAAGAAAAGCTCAGTTAAGAACCTGCTCTTTCATTCCTTCATTAAACATTTACTTATTTGGGTGCCTCCTATATGCTACGTAGTTTGGAATGTTTGGAGATACAGAAATAAAATAGACAAGGTTATTTTCCTCAAGGAGCAATTTAGTAGGAAAGACAGATAATACAAAAGTAAGCCAGTAAATAAAAAAAAATTAATTGTGATACATTCTGTGAAAGAAACAAACGAAATTGATCAGGAAAGCTCTCTTTTGGTTGATGCCACTTAAATGGAGATCAAAGGATGAAATGATGTCAACCATATAAAGAACTAGAGAAACAGCATTCCAGGAACAGAGACAACCTAAACACAGGTCCAAATGCTAGGAATATGTTGATATGGGAGGAACTAAAATAAGACTACTGTTATTAGAGCATAATGAGTTGTAGGGGAATGGCTTGAGGTGTGAGCAGAGAGGCTGTGACTATATTGGGCATAACCTTCTGGGTCATGATTAGGAGTTTTGTTTTTAGGTGTAATAAAAAGACATTTAAGCATGGCATATAGTTTGAGAAGATGCCTTTGGGGAAGTAGACAAGGCATTAATTGTGGGGTTGTTGGAGTAGTCCATTGTTGTCTGCACTGATATGGGAACTGAAAAAATGGAGAAAATTGGATTAAATCTAGCAATATTTGTACAATATCAAATACAAATCCTATCAATTATGTGGCACCTGACCTAAATAACTTGGTAGATGGTGGTGTGGCAAATATTTGAGGAAAGAATAAGTTGAGATTGGCAATTGAGTTTCTTTTTAGACAGTTCTATGTGGATTGTCTTTTAAGAGGCAGGTTTCAGTGAGATCTAGGCTACAATATAACTTTGGTAAGCATAAAGATGGTATTTGAATCCAGTAGATTGAACTGATGAGAAAACATAAGGAGATGGTGTGAAGAGAAGAAGGGCATAGTCCTGAGCTCTGAGAAAAGTATTTAAAGGAGGGAGAGGAGTAGGCCAGTAAGGGGGAAGAACCCAGGACTAAGTCATATTGCAGAGACCAATAGTCTTTCAAAAGTGTGGGAGTGATTTGTTGTGCCTATTGCTGCTGATAAATCAGGTATGTTAAGAATTGGATATGGCTACATAGATTTAAGTTTCAGTGGTCTAGTAGTATTGGAAACCAAATCACAGTTGAGTGGTTAAAAGTGAATAGAAGGGTAAAGAGACAGCCTAGGTGTAGACAACACAAGAAATTTGGCAATGATGGGAAATGAGAACCACAGAGATAATAGAAGAGAATGTGAAGATAAAGGAAGATGTTTGGTTGCTTACTTGCTTATTTGTTTGTAAGATGGCTGTTGCCAGAGTATGATGGTATGATGATGGAAGTGATCTAGTGAAAAGAAAGGAAGATGTGATTGATAAAGGCAAGAAGAACACAGAACTAGACCACATCTAGTGTTCTACTGCCTTGTGTACTCCCCAGACTTAGAACAATTATAATTCATTTCATATCTGCCTTTAGAAACATTCTTCCTAGGGCATCTCTGTGAAACTCTACTATTCCTTTTTAAATTTTCTAAATATTCCTTCTCTGTCTTAATTTCAGGCAGAAAAGGCAATCTTCCTTCTTATTCCCCAAAATTATTTTTCTTGTTTGCTTTCTTGCTATAGTATCCCCCTCAGTGATCTTTTGTCCTCACAAAACTCTTTCTTTTTTGTACAATGAGTCCCCAGTCTGTATCTCTGGCCCTGAATTCTTATATTTAGATTTGTATTTCCCTTTGTCTGCTGGGCATTATTACTATATAAACCTCACCTATGGGTCTGACGTAATATGTCAAAAGCAAACTTATTTTCCCCTGCTTGCCTACTTTGCTAACATTTCTTTTTCTGGAAATGTAATTCTTTCCATCAACTATATTTAAACTCTTTGTCATTATTGATTTTTTAAAAAATTCAATTAGTTGCCAAAAAGCTATTCCACAGAGTCATTCTATCTGCACCTTCTTTTCTTGACGCTACCCTTTTAGGTCTTTGACGCCTTTTGCCTGAACTATGGAAGTAGTCTTATTTGTAGTTTCTTCTTTTTGCCTCTGTAACCTTTTTTATACATCTCCAGGTTATTCTTTATACATTGTTGTGGTTCTGATCAAAAACTTGCATTGCATTCTTCCTAATCTTCACATTGTGTAAAGATTCTTCTGCCTTTCATTGAGAGCAATCCGTATTATAGGCTTGATTATCCTTTCCAGCTATATCCCTTATCATTTCCTTATAATAAAGCTTCTCAACCTTTACTGTATATTCAGATCATCTCAGGAGATTTTACAATGCCTGAACTGTAGAGATTCCAGTTCCCAGTAAGGTGGAATAAGTACACTCCCCTCTATTTCTTCTCTGCAGCTATAAAACCTAGACAGAGGCTGGTGCGGTAGCTCACGCCTGTAATCCCAGCACTTTGGGAGGCTGAGATGGGTGGATCACCTGAGGTCAGGAGTTCAAGATCAGCCTGGCCCACATGGTGAAATCCTGTCTCTACTAAAAATACAAAAATTAGCTGGGCATGGGGTGCATGCCTGTAATCCCAGCTACTCCAGAGGCTGAGGCAGGAGAATCTCTTGAACCCAGGAGGCAGAGGTTGCAGTGAGCCGAGATTGCGCCATTGCACTCCAGCCTGGGCAACAAGAGTGAAACTCCGTCTCAAAAAAAAAAAAAAAAAACCCTAGACAGAATGTATGGAGCAGCTTTTTGTTGACTTAGAAAAGTAGATAATAGCAGGTCGATTGTAGATTGGAATTTTAAGTACCACCAAATTAGCAGTGAGTTTCTAGTATTTTGTTTGATGCCCCACAAGTGAGACTCGAGGATACTAGAAACCTAGAAGTGGGCATTGAAGCGTAACAAGGAGGGTTTAAAGAGGAGCTCTCCAGTTCTGGGTTGAGGAGCAGAAAGGGGGACTTCTGACACTCAGAAACAGTGGAGGAAATCCCCAGTTTTTTTGTTTTTTTTTTGTTTGTTTGTTTGTTTGTTTGACTTATTCTCTTAATTCCATGCAATCCTGCAGGGGCTACAATCACAGCATCAGCTGGGGCTGAGATATATCTAAAACTGAGAGATGAGAACCTCCTCTACAATTAGGAATGGTTGTCTCAAAATAGTGGGGCAAGTACCTGTTGCTTCTGTTCTCTTTCTGCTGTCTGTTGCTTGGTATTAGACAAAAATTCAGTTGTGTGAAGCATACAGCAGAGCAGAGTAATGAAGCCCAAGCTTTCTGGCCAGAGAACTGACAAGGAAAACAGGGTACCGAAAATCACGGAGAGAAAGGAACTAGGAAAAGCAACCCCATAAAGTTGTTTATGAACTTCTCTGCCACCCAGGAGTTGTACATATGTGGACATGGTCCTAAAGAGCATATAAAAGACTGAGAACTGAACTAAGCAGTAGACCACACGCAGTTTCTAGGCTAGCTACTCAGTGTGCCACACACTAGGATAGATCCTAGCAGCACTGCAGAGCTTTGAAAAAGGAAACTGACGTTGAAACGACGATAGTAGACTCAACATATAGCTTGGAATACAACCAGGTTGATGATCTGCTAAAATAGAAATAGTAACATTTCACTTGAAGCAGTAAAATATTGATTCTAAGTAGACTGTTCAAGTTAAGTATATTTAATGTCATCCCTAGAGCAACTTCTAAAAAAAAAACTATACAAAGAAATAAATTCAAACATAAATTAAAATACCAGAAAATCAGATAGCCCAAAAGAAGGCAAGGAAGAAGAGAAATGGCGGATTTTTTTTTTTTTACATAGAACAAGCAGAAAACAAATAATAAAATAATTGACCTAAATCCAACCTAATTAAATTAAATGGTCTAAACATACCAATTAAAAGACAGATTGTCAGAATGAATTTAAAAACATGATCTAACTATATGCTGTATACAAGAAACTCACTTTAGATATAATGATATAGGTAGTTTAAAGGATAGAAAAATACTATCTAAACACAAATCAAAGCTTGAGTGGTTGTATTAATATCTGTCAAAATAGACTTTAGTGGGAAGAAAATAACCAGGAATAAAGAAAGACATTACAAATGATAGAAGGGTCAGTCACCAGGAAGGCATAAAATTCCTAAGCGTGTATGCACCTGACAATAAAACCTCAAAATACATGAATTAAAAACTGACAAAGCAGCAGACTAAACTGCAAGGATAATTAAATCCACAATTATAGGAAACCACACTGCTTTTCTCTTCGTATTCGATATAACTGACAGAAAATTAGCAAGTGTAGAGAACTGAATAACACCATCAGTCATTTGTATCTGATTCACATTTACAGAACATTCCACCCAATAATAAGAAAAAGAATAGGTTATTTCCAAGGATAGGTTGATCATTCATCAAGATAGAACATATACCAGATCATAAAACATCTTAACAGATTTAAAATCGCTGAAATTATACAAAGCATGTTCTCTGCTAATAATTGAATTAAACTACAAATCAATAAAAGGAAAATTTCCAAGTGGTTTAAAATTAAATAACTTACATTTAAATAATCTGTGGGTCAAAGAAGAAGCCTCAAAGTAGAAAACATTCTCTTTTTTTATTTTTTTCTTTTTGGAGACGGAGTGTCATTCTGTCACCCAGGCTGGAGTGCAGTGATGCGATCTCAGCTCACTACAACCTCCGCCTCCTGGGTTTAAGCAATTCTCCTGCCTCAGCCTCCCAAGTAGCTGGGATTACAGGTGTGCGCCACTATATCCAGCTAATTTTTGTATTTTTAGTGGAGGTGAGGTTTCACAATGTTGGCCAGGCTGGTCCTGAACACTTGACCTCAAGTGATTCACCCACCTTGGCTTCCCAAAATGCTAGGATTACAGGTGTGAGCCACCAGCCCGGCCAGATATTCTTAACTGAACAAAAATGAAAATATATTAAAATTTGCAGGATGGGCCTAGGAGTTCATAAACAACTTTAAAGGGTGCTATACCAAGTTCCTCCCTCTCCCTGATTTCTGTCGTACTTTATACATAGACAAATTATGGTGCATTCTTTCAGTGGACTACTAAGCAGTAAAAAGGAAGAACTATTGATACATACAACAACCTAGTTGAATTTCAAAGGCATATTGAGTGAAGGAAGCCAACTCAAAGGCTTATATACTATATGATTCTATTTATATGACATTCTGGAAAAGTGTGCTACACACTTTTAAATGACCAGATTTCACGAGAACTCATTATCAGAAGAATGGTACCAAGAGGGATGGTGCTAAATCATTCATGAGGAATCTACCTCCATTAACCAGTCACCTCCCCCTAGGCCCCACTTCCAATACTGGGGATACATTTCAATATGAGTCTTGGGTAGGGGCACATATTTAAACTATATCAATAAATAAGAATTATTTAAACCCAGGATTCAAGACAAATGGACCTTAGAATAGCATACACAAAAGTAGAAAGAAAGAGGGCACATTTAGAAATACTGAAAGAATGGGTGTGGGGTTTGTGCCTATAGTGCCAACCACTAAGGAGGCAGAGTCACGGGGATCGCCTGAGCCCAGAAGTTGGAGGCCACATTGAGCTATGATAATGCCTGGCATTCCTGTGTGGGCAACAGATCGAGACCCTGTCTCTTTAAAAAAAAAAAAAAAAAAAAAGAAAAGAAAAGAAAAATAAAAAAGGCCAGAATGACTGGAATACTGAAAGTTGACCAAAGAGCAGTACAAGATGAGACTAGAGAGTTGGGCAAGGAACAATACAGCATTACACTAAGGATTTGGGGTTTTATGCTAATAATGAAACAAGTTTTAAACATGGTGTGATATGTTTAAGTGTGTCTTTTTAAATTATCTGGAATAATCTAGAGGAGATGTATTAAGTACTAGTTTCTTATTAAATACATTATTATTTGTGTTATATAAAATAGTTCTTTTAGACAGCCGTAGATTTAGAAATTAGCCACACACACAAATAGAGAAGCTTGAGTTCCCAAGTCCTTCTAGTTTTTCACTTTAGAATACCTGTGGAATGATTAATTATGTAAAATAATTCATTAACAAGTATTTAATGCTCATAAGTATTCTTTTCTGCATGGAATAGTATGCTGTGGTCAACTGGTAGCTGTTTACAAGAGCTGATTGTTAAATTTTGGGGAATTTTAAAAATTGAGTGTTAAAGTCATTAAAAATTAAATTATATAAACTTATAATTATTTAAAACAAAGATAATGCTCAAAACTCATTACTTCCTAATTATTTTACATTTTATTACATATGTTCTCTTGTATGGCGGAAATACTATATAATTGTGTGCTATCACACGTGTTTTATCAACTCCACATTCAGTGACATGTTGGTAGCTTGACATCAACCCCAATGGGAGTATTTACCCTTTGAAAATCATCAGACTTTATAAATCAGGGCTGTTTAACCCCAGAGAGCTGATTAAAAATTTTCCCAAGTAGAAATAAAAATATTTTGCCAAAGAAACAGATTAAAAATAAAGACGTGGTATAGTTGAAATAACATTGTTAATATCACTTTTATGGTAATTGATGAGTTACATAGATGTTTTCTGACTAAATTGTCAATCTAACCACAATGCATAAAATCTTTATGGGGAGAGTGGGGGTGGTAACTTGTATACCAGGTTCTAAATCATTTACAAAGGAACTTGTAGAATGTAACTCAAATGTTAAATTAGGGACTTCCTTATAGTTTTCTGTATTTCAGTTTTCATTTTCCTTAATTAAGAGAGCATTTATCTAAAATACTGAGTTCTACAAAGTATAGTAGAATGAAAGCAAGCATAACACTTTTTAATAGCTTATAACCTAGACTGTATAAGAGAACTAAGAGCTTATTGTCCAATATACTTAGCACCAGTAAGATTTAAGGTAACAGTGTAGAAAATTTGGTCATGCCAGAGTCTCCTAAAAAACCGTATCATCGATTAGTTGGACTTAGAAAAAAAAAATGTTGAAAGGCTGAGGGTAATTTTTCAGGCTTAATAAAACACATCAAAATAGTTAGAAGACATCTACTAGATAGGTAAAATTACATCTTCATATTTTAAGCACTAGAGTAAGTTATTGAGGGGAGGGAATAATATCTTTCTTAATTGTTATCCAGAATGATTTCGATAAAACCAATTCCTTCATCTCAGTAAATCTCATTAATTCAGTGGTATGCTTTTAAGAGGTTATTGTCATTGGTTTGAATTTCTTATTCTTTAATTGGTTTTGATCTTCCATAGTGCTTTTGCATCTCTTCCAAAGCACAAACCTGGTTTCTGGTCAGATGTAGCTGCGGCTGTAGGTTCTCGATCTGCTGAAGAATGCCAGAGGAAATATATGGAAAATCCCAGAGGAAAAGGATCCCAGAAACATGTCACTAAGAAAAAGCCAGCCAATTCCAAAGGCCAAAATGGTAAACTTTGTAGTAAATAGTTTTTTTCGTAGTACTCAGTGTTGATTTCTGATCACTGAAATCAGATATGTTCTATATTTATCCATGAATATTAATAGGTATTTTCTTAAAATATTAAAGCTAGAAAGAATTTCAGAAATCATGTTTAATTTTTAAGTCTTACCTAGGTCTCTACTTCCATCAATAGTAGTTTAGTAGCCTTGTGCTTTGAGTTTTAGGAATTCTGCAGTTAGATCCAGAGATTTCAGTATCTGAATTATTGTTCTGAGGGTTTAATTAAAGGCACTTGGGTCAGATCCCCAAGTAATTTATGAGAAAGCTCAGAAAATACTCAGTTTTCATAGTCCCATGATTACATACTCCTGTTCATGAGTACTAGTAAAAGGTTGATTATGCCAGAGAATTTCTATAATAAGCATTAGTGAGAACCCAGTACCCCATCGTAATTCAATAAGGTTTATATATTTTAGCAAAATCAATAAATTAGGCATTCAGCAAGTGGCAGTGTAGAGGCAATCATTCTTGCAATGTAAAGATCTTTTTGGCCAGGCGTGGTGGCTCTGCCTAATCTTAGCTTCTTCATGAGTATCCTATGGGCTAATCATATTGCACAAATCCCAGATCCCAGTGTAGAAATAATCATTTGTTCTATAGGAGACTTGTAAAATAAAAAGCTAAGTTTTCATTCTCTTTTTCCTTTCTTTATCTATATTTTTTTAGAGAGATGGGGTCTCACTGTATTGCCCAGGCAGGTCTTGAACTCCTGGGCTCAAGCATTCCTCCTGCCTTGGCCTCCCAAAGTGCTGGGGTTACAGGGATGAGCCACTGAGCCTGGCCAAGGCTGAGTTTTTTTGTTTTTTTTTTTTTAACATGAATGCACAATTTAGATTTTGCAAAGGCTATTAACTTTATAGAGCAGTTACTATAAATAACCAAATCCTTATCAAAATGGTTTGCTGACTCTTCAGGCAAGCAAGGTGATGCTGATCAGAAACAAACTATTAAGATAACTGCCAAAGTGGGAACTCTTAAAAGGAAGCAACAGATGAGGGAATTTCTGGAACAGTTGCCAAAAGATGACCATGATGATTTTTTCAGTACAACACCTTTACAGCATCAAAGAATACTGGTAAGAGGCACAAAATCATTGTTTTCCTTATCTGTATTGACTTTTATATCTTTCATTTTTATGTATGGTAGTGTTCATCACTAATATTTAGGCGAAGGATCAGTAGCCTCCCTAGACGTGATCATAGTCTTATGGCAAACAATGTGCTGATATATGCCATTCTTACTAGTTTCTAGAGTCTGCACTTCAGTCGGTTCAAAGGTAATGTTTGTAGAACCAAACAGTAAACCTAGAATTAGGCAAAACATATATAAAGTTTAATATACTACCAAGCAAACTTTTTTTTAAAGGTGATAAAAGATACTGTGTAGTAATTGAAAGTAGGGATTAAATGATAGTAGCACAGTATTAAAAGATTTGAATGTATGAAAGAATTTTTGTCATATGAAGAGTAGAATAAGTAAATATTTCAGTGACTGGAGTAATTCACAGCAAATAAAACCAAGCTAGTATCTGTAATATGAACAAGTCATTCAAATGTTACTGGAATAACAAAAAGTACCAAGATCACAGGAAAAGTGTGAAAAAGAAGAAATTCAAAAGGCTTAATAAACACTTGGGGAAGTAGTCATTTTAGTTAGTAATTCAAGAAAGTAAAATAAATTATATATGTATACTTTCTAAATTACAGAATCTTAAAAAAAAAAGTAAGTTAAAATATCCACTGCTAACAGAAGCAGTGCTGATACTGATACAGTCATACATCAGTGGGCATACAAATTGAATCGTACCTTTTAGTAAGAAAGCATTATGGCAATATATTATAAAAGCCATAAAGATTTATTCTATTCTTGAGAGTTTATCCTAAGAAATCCAAAAGCCCCAAATCTTTGCAAGATATTTATTGCAGTTTTATCTTTATAGCAAAAAACTGGAAACAATCTGTATATCCAGTAAAGATGTTTTTCATAAACACAGTGAAATACAATACAGATATTAAATGCACATTTGAGACTTTCTAGAATCTAAATATAAATGTTAAGAATATTAAGATTAGCGGGGCGTGGTGGCTCATGCTGTAATCCCAGCACTTTGGGAGGCCGAGGCGAGTGGATCATGAGGTCAGGAGATCAAGACCATTCTAGCCAACATGGTGAAACCCTGTCTCTACTAAAAATACAAAAATTAGACGAGCGTGGTGGCGCATGCCTATAATCCCAGCTACTTGGGAGGCTGAGGCAGGAGAATCGCTTGAACCCCCTAGATAAAGATTGCAGCCACTGCACTCCAGCCTGGCGACAGAGCAAGACTCCTTCTCAAAAAAAGAAAAAAAAACAAAGATTATTAAGATTAAAGTAATGCAGAAATGTGTGGATAACAGACAACTGGACTATTGAGTATAAGAATTCAAACAGTTAGTGAGCTAGACATAAGCGTAATTTTTTCATCTACCAATTTCTTGTCATTAAATCATCTTCAATTTAAAAAGGCTACACAACGCTTTACAAAGTTTAGTAACATTAGCTGGGCCCCCTTTTTGCTTACACTGGTTATAAAGGGAAGTCTTAAGAGAGCCACCAGAGGCCCTGACAATGTTTTCTTCAAAACACTGTGGTCCACTAGGGGTTGTACCCTTTATGTTATCCCACCATCATTTCAGGTTCTATATGTGTATATTTTAGCCTAAATGCAATAGTAGCATCATAAAGAACAGAACTGCCGGGCATGGTGGCTCACGCCTGTAATCCCAGCACTTTGGGAGGCCAAGGTGGGCAGATCACCTGAGATCAGGAGTTCAAGACCAGTCTGGCCAACATGGTGAAACCCCATCTCTACTAAAAATACAAAAATTAGCTGGTGTGGTGGTGGGCATCTGTAGTCCCAGCTACTCAGGATGGTGAGGCGAGATAACTACTTGAACCCAGGAGTGGGAGGTTGCAGTTAGCCGAGATGGCACCATTTTACTCCAGCCTGGGCAACAAGAACGAAACTCCGTCTCACAAAAATAGAAATGTAAAGAACAGAACTAAAGTAGAAATAGACAGCAACAAATTATCTCATTTTCTGTGACATAGTTAACATTGCTTGAGTTCCTACTGAGGGCTAAGCATAATAGTAAGTGAATTAGAGTTTTGTTTTGTTCTGTTGATACGAAAGGTCAGATTTGTTTGCATATTGTCTATGCCTGCTTTCATGCTACAGTGCAGAGTTGAGTAGTTAGAACAGAGACTGGACCACAAAACCTAAAATATTCACTATCTGATTCTTTACGGAAAACATTTGCTGACCTCTGGTCTACATAACCTTTAGAAATAGGTGTTATTATCTCTGTTTTACACAAGAGAAATTAAGTCTTTTAAAGGCTAAGGCTCGTCCTTGTCCTTGTTCCTTGACCTTAAAATTTCTAGCAGACACAGCCTAAACCTGTGCAACCAGCAGACCCCCATCATTCTTGTTTATCTTCTGTCAGGGAGAGCCTCAGCACCCTAGACCTATATAGTGTAGGATGAATCCCTTCTGTTACTGGTAGCGAATCCATACGGGTCTGCAGAAACCACAATTCTTACCTCCTCAGAAGAAAGAATTCTGGCCAGGTGTGGTGGCTTATGCCTGTAGTCCCAGCACTTTGGGAGGCCAAGGTAGGAGGATCCCTTGAGCCCAAGAGCTTAAGACCAGCCTGGGCAATATAGGGAGACTCCGTCTCCATTTTTTTTTTAATAATTATAAAAATTTTTTAAACAGAATTTGACCAAGGAAACATAAGGCAGAAGGAGAAACCAAGGCAAGTTTTAGTGCAGGAATGAAAGTTTATTAAAAAACTTTAAAGCAGGAACCAAAGGAAGGAAAGTACTCTCAAAAGAGGGCCAAGCAGGTGACTTGAAGGATGGTTTAACTTTGTGACTTGGGGTTTTATATGTTGGCATGCTTCTGGGGGTCTTGTGTTCCTTCTCTCCTGATTCTGACTTTGAGGTGGGCTGTCTGCATGCCCAGTGGTGTGCTAGCACTTGGGAGGGGAGCAAGTTACAGTGTGTTTACTGGATTTGCACACAGGCTCACTTGAGGCTTTCTTCCCTTACCAGTCGAATGTCCATAGGAGGTCATATACCAGTTAAACTCCTCCATTTTGCCTCTTAATGCACATGCTTGAGCCCACTCGCCCAGCTTCTGAGATCTTATCAGGAAGCTGCTCATCACCAATTTTAGGTGTTTCTGTTTATTGAGAGATTGCCTTTCCCTGGTGCTGGCTGCGATTAATTATTATTTTAGAGACACAGTTAACAACCACCTGACCATCATAGGATGGTTGCCTAACAACATTCCTGGTAGGGGATGGGGAGGCCTGCTCATTCCCTGCTTATCCCTGACTAGCTACCTGCTGTAACATTCCCACTTCCACAAGTCACCAGTCAAGGTTAGCTGTTTCCAGCTGGAGGAAGCTAATGGTGTTTATGGCCCAGGGGAGGTTAGGCTTGTTTCCAACCCAGAGCTGTTTCAAGCCCAGGGGAGGTTAGGCTTGATGGCTTGTTTCCAACGTAGTCAGTGGGATGGAGCTGGGAGGAATAGAAAAGATGGAGGAAGAGAGAGAGATTAGGGCCCATACACACATTAAAATTATACACCTACATGTGCAAACAAATGGTGCACTGCCTCCAAACAAATCCCCAGTTAAGAGGACTGGGTAGAGTTCCAAACTCCTTGCCTCAGTTTCAAACAGCCCCCACCAGGGGACTGAGTCCAATGTGAACAAAGCCCTGAGGGTGCCACAAATACAAATGCGTAAAAATGGCCAAATGGTGACACCAACAGCTAAGTCTAAACAGAGCAGAGACCCAGCAACACCCTGAAAAGAGTCAGAGGGAGGCTAGGTGCACATCAGCAGCTCACCCGGTTCCAACGTTTGTCGACTTCTTCAAAATGTCACACATTGTGACATATCAGTGAAGCTTTGGAAGCAGCAGATGCTGTGACAAAGAGAAAAGGAGGTTCCGCAAGACAAAGGCACATTGGCAGCTGCTGGAAGCTCCCCTAATGTTCTTTCTACGGGGTCAGCTAGCCACGAGCAGCTGGCATTCACAGGTGGCTCCATGGCCCCATCTAACAGAAGATCAGATAGGTGGGTCTGGAGCCTCCTGTGAATACACAGGGCTCCCTGTATGGGCCACCAAAAATTGTAACCAGCATAGGAGTCCAACTACTCGCCGCTTGTGAAAAGAAGACAATATAACAAGAGCAAGGTGTGACAGAGTTTTATTATCTGTGCCAGCAAAGGGAAGTGTGGGTGAAATTCCAAAAATTCCAGTCTTCAATTTGTGGAGAGAACATAGGAGTTTTTAAAGAGAGAATGGTTTGGAATGCAGGAGAGGAGGGGTTAGGAGGTGTCAGGTGGCTCAGTGTGCTTCAACAGCTTATCTTGAAATATTATTCCATTTGGTGAAGGGGCCAGCACCATCCTGGGCCCAACCAGGTTACAAATTAATTGTAGTAAATCTTGCAGTAAATTTCTAGATGGGAGTGAGTTTTGGCCTTGACTGGGGAGAGAATTATTAAAGTATCCAGTTTGTGCCAGGATCCAGCCCCTGAAGCTTCTAAGGAAATATATGACCAGATAAACGAGCATGGTGTGCACTTAAAAAGTGTCTAGGTAAATACATGTGCATAAGGCATGGGAGCACAGAATGGGTAAAGAAAGAGAATGGAGGTTCACATTTTGAGGCTGTATTTCAAGATGAATGGAAACACATATGCAGTTTATCTCAAAGTTGTATCTTAAAATTGGGGAGAAAGGAATAAAAAAGTTTTAAAACCTGGTTTGAAGCCACACTACTCGGTTACAGGCTGAATAAAGAGGGTGACAAATACAGTTTCTCAGAAACATTTAATAGAGACTTTTGAGCAGAAGCCATCTCTTGGGTGGCCACAAGATGGTGGATTTATGCACTGTTATCACCCCAGACCCAGGGTTTATATACCATAGGGAATTTGCCTAAGGGACGGATTTATGGTAAGTATGTGTTTACAGTAACACCAAGGTTGTTTTGACCTAAGGACAAAATTTCTGGTAAGTACATGGAAGTAGAAATCTTAGAGGCATTTCCAGGACCGGGTTTAATCAGAAGTCGGCATGGTGAATTAGCATCTAAAATGGAGTTCCTCTAGCCTCTACTCCTCTACCTACTATTGTTTTTAATTATCTAACTTGAAAAGTTATAAGAAGGAGAACCAACCTATCAGTCCTCCAAAAACTATTTTGTGATAGAGAAAATACATTTTATGGGGTGTCTGCTGATAATAAATACTTGTTTTCTAGTTGCCAAGTTTCCAGGACAGTGAAGATGATGATGATATTCTGCCAAATATGGACAAAAATCCAACAACTCCATCATCAGTTATCTTTCCATTGGTAAAAACTCCTCAATGTCAGCATGTCAGTCCTGGCATGCTAGCTTCTATAAATAGGTAAATATTCATGCATATGATATTTTAATTCTCTGCATCAGAGTAGTGAGGAACATTTAAACATTTCATGAGGACCATAGATGCCAGTAATGGGAAGAGTCATTATTTAACAAATCAAGAATGTATAGTTTCTAGAAGTTAAGGATGGACAATTTCATCAAGTCAGGGTTCTATTCAATAAATAGCACTGTGATATAATCCACATTTACTTCTGGATCAATTCAAAATGGATCAAGGTTTTACTTGTAAAAAATTAAAAAAAAAAAAAACTAAAGAAACCTTGGAGAATGATTTTATAATACCAGATTAGTGATGGTCTTTCTAACTATAATATAAAACCTACAAGCCATTAATGAAAAGATGAATAAAGTCAACTGTATAAAAATGTTTAACAAATTTTACCTGGTACCAACCACTACAAACAAAAGACAACCTGAGAAAAGAATATATGCAGCTTGTCACAGGCAAAAGGCTAATTTCTGTAATATATACAGCATTCCTACAAATTAACAAGGAATGCATTGTTAATTTTCATGCATTGCTAGTGAGAAGGTAAATTAGTGCGATCTTTGCAGCAACAATTTGTAAGTATCAAAATTATAAATGCACATACCCTTTGACTTAGGAAGTTTACTTACAGAATTGTGAATGTACAGCTTATTCATGGTAGCATTGTTTAAATTGCAGTACCTCAAAAATCTATCAGTAGGGACTAATTAAATGAATCCTCGTCCATTATGTAGTCATAGAAATTAATGAAGAGCCAGGCACAGTGGCTGAAGCCTGTAATCCCAACACTTTGGGAGGCTGAGGTGGGAGGATCACTTGAGCCCAGGAGTTTAAGACCAGCATGGGCAACATAGGAAGACCCCATTTCTACCAAAAGAAAAAAAAAAAAGTTAGCAGGATGCAGTGAGGAAAGCCTGTGGTCCCAGCTACTAGGGAGGCTGATGTAGAAGGATTGCTTGAGTCCCAGAGGTCTAGGCTGCAGTGAGCTGTGATTGCAACAGTTGCACTCTAGCCTGGACAACAGAGTGGGATCCTGTCTCAAAAAAAAAAAAAGGAATTAATGAAGGTATTTTTTATGGCTGTTATGATAAAATGCCTAAGATACATTAAATGAGAAAAAGGTAGATGTAGTGAATAATATACTGTTTGTGTAAATAGAACCTATATGTGTGTATGCATATATGTATATACTTGTGTGTGTGTATATAATTGCTTTTATTAGATTAAGTATTTCTAAAAGGATGCATAAGAAACCAAAACATTGGTGATCTTTAGGGAGAACTAAGGTAGCTAGAGGAAGGAGAGGGGGGCTTTTGAATTTTGAACCATGTGAATACAGGAACAATTTGAAACATATACATAAATAAAATTAAGAAAAAAGTAGGGGTGACTAACAATAAAATTTCACCAAAAAAAGATGGAAAGTAGTAAGAATGAGGCCTGAAAATAGGCTATTCCATTTGGAGAGTAAGAGGCTATTGCTGATCTTAGAGCAATTTCCACAGAATGAGAGGCAGAAGCAAGATAATAATGACTGAGAAAAAAACTATTCAGTACTCTCAGGAAGCCTGCTAAAATTGTAATTTGCACTTATTGGATAAAAATGTAATTTTTCTAGGCATCTAAAAGTTATTTTTTATTTTAGTATTTAGTGCAGGTGAAAGCATATTGAGAATACAATTTTGGACAAACTTTTTGATAAGCACTTTGACCAAATCATCAAAAGCCTTAAAATATTCATCCTTGGCCGGCCCGGTAGCTCACACCTATAATCCCAACACTTTGGGAGGCTGAGGCCAATGGATCACGAGGTCAGAAGTTTGAGACCAGTCTGGCCAACACAGTGAAACCCTGTCTCTACTAAAAATACAAAAAATTAGCCAGGTGTGGTGGTGTGCACCTGTAATCCTACCTACCAAGGAGGCTGAGGCAGGAGAATCGTGTGAACCCAGGAGGTGGAGGTTGCAGTGAGCCAAGATCACGCCATTGCACTCCAGCCTGGGTGACAGTGCGAGACTCCGTCTCAAAAAAAAAAAAAAAAAAATTCATCCTTTTGGCCATTGAATTTTATTAGACACTTTAAGGAAATATGAGATTTGGACAGGCATGTATTTATATGAACAAAGATGTTCACCATAAAACATAATACTGAAAGTTTGAGAATGACCAAAACATCCAAAAATAAGGAAAGTTATAAATTAAGATTTATCCATATAATGGAATATGAAACAAATCATGTCTTCAAGAATGTTTAATGACAGAAAAATATCCAGTGGATAGTAGTTTTTTAAAGCTAGGAAAACTACATTCAGTATGATCCCAATTTTATGTAACAAATTCATAAGGAAGGAAATTTCTTAACTTACACATCACCAGCCATTATTTCTAGGTTATAGAATGACACCAGTGTGGGTTGTGAGTTTTTGTTTTTTGTTTTGGGGGATATTTTCTGTCCATTTACATCACTTTTACAATTAAGGAAATCCGATAGACTCACTTATGTCATGTATCTATACTGTCTAAAACTTTTTCTTAAAAAAAAGATTTTTTTTTTTTTTTTTTTTTTTTTTTGAGACGGAGTCTCGCTTTGTTGCCCAGGCTGGAGTGCAGTGGCCGGATCTCAGCTCACCGCAAGCTCCGCCTCCCGGGTTTACACCATTCTCCTGCCTCAGCCTCCCGAGTAGCTGGGACTACGGGCGCCCGCCACCTCGCCCGGCTAGTTTTTTGTATTTTTTAGTAGAGACGGGGTTTCACCGTGTTAGCCAGGATGGTCTCAATCTTCTGACCTCGTGATCCGCCCGTCTCGGCCTCCCAAAGTGCTGGGAATACAGGCTTGAGCCACCGCGCCCGGCCAAAAAAAAAAAGGATTTTCTTAGGCTTCTTCACTATCTTTGACTTTACTATCTCTAGTAATTGATGAACTTTTCATAACAGTTTTAAGTAATCAAACAGTTGTATCACTTCAGAAGTGAAAAACTCTTTGTCTTCAGAGACATCTCTTTGACAATAGACTTACCAGTTGCTGATCCTGAACAAGTGGCTAGGCCTGTTCATTTGTTTTTTGTTTTTGAGATGGAGTTAGTCACGTTGGAGAGCAGTGGCACGATCTCAGCTCACTACCACCTCCATCTACCAGGTTCAAGCAATTCTCATGCCTCAGCCTTCCAAGTAGCTGGGATTACAGGCACATGCCACCGTGCCCGGCTAATTTTTGTATTTTTAGTAGAGATGGGGTTTCACCATGTTGCCCAGGCTGGTCTTGAACTCCTGACCTCAGGTAATCCACCAGCCTCAGCCTCCCAAAGTGCTGGGATTGCACCTGTTCATTTGTTAAGCAGTTTGCTAATACCTGATGAGGTCTATTCATTGCTATACAGCAGTGTTTGATTCAGATAAGTATCTTAATACAGTCACATTTCTACATGTCAACTTTAAGGTTGTTCCCAAATAGTCATAAAGAACAGGATACTCAGGTATGTAAGATCTTAGAGCCAAGGGAGAGTATGGAAATGGGTGTTCAGCTGGTATTAACTGTCATAAGTGGGATTAGGAATTGTGGGTTTAAGGAATTAAAAATAACCAATCATTCTACTTGGCTTTTAATCTCATCAGTTATGAGTCAAGCCTATTTACTTGTAAGGGAAGAGATAAGGTAAAGGAAATGAAAAAAACAAAAAAAAAAATTTGGTGGTTGGTATGGGGAATTCAAGAAAGATAAAGTTTTGTAGAAATAAAAGGCTTGATGAGCTGGATTGGAAACCCAGCACAGTTGGAAAAATTGAGGGTTTTCAATCACCAGGCATATCTTTAAAGTGAATAAACTGAGATTCAATTAGTATAGGGAAGGAAGTGAACAATGGTACAGCAAAAGGGAGTCCAAGGACCAGAGGTCTCAGTGGGAGTTTTGGAAAATGAAGAGAGGCAGCAAGATACTGGAAAGAGCGTAGACAGTACAATGAGCAGTAAGCAAAGCATAATTTCCCAAAATAGTCTTATTCATTATTTCCTTTAAAATGTTTGAGCGTTTTGCCCATCTCCATAGGCACATTGTATTGTCCTCTTTAAAATACAGAATGTACTTTTTAAAGATGGAAATACATTTGAGGTCAGGCATGGTGGCTCACGCCTGTTATCCCAACACTTTGGGAGGCCCAGGAGGGCAGATTGCTTGATGAGCTCAGGAGTTCAAGAGCAGCCTGGGCAATGTGGCGAAACCCTGTCTCTTAAGAAAAATACAAAGATTAGCCAGGCGTGATGGCACGTGCCTGTAGTCCAAGCTACGTGGGAGGCTGAGTTGGGAGGATCACGTGAGCCCAGGAGGCTGAGGCTACAGTGAGCCATTATCATGTTACTGCACTCCAGCCTGGGCGACAGAGTGAGACCCTGTTTCAAAACAAGAAATACATTTGAAATTAATTTAGGCAATTGTTGTTCAACCTGTGGTTAAAAGTATGACAGTTAACTGAAAATTATTAAGTTGACTTAAAAATATTGTTGACTTTATTTTGTATTCAAACAGGAATGATTGTGATAAATATGTTTTTCGTATGCAAAAATATCATAAAAGTAATGGTGGTATTGTCTGGGGCAACATCAAGAAAAAATTAGTAAGTATTTTTCTTTATCCAACACATATCTATGAAACAACTTTAATATATGATAAACTGTGGTAGTTATAAGTGATGTCACAGTCCCTGTCCCTAAAGTGATTATAATGTAATAAGTTACAATAATGAAGCCATGAATGAGGTAAGTACATAAGTACTGTAGGATTACAGATGGCATTACATAGACTGAAACATTGGAGCAAGGAGAAAATGGGTAAAAACTTTGATTTTTGGGAAATGAAGGGTGGTAAAAATATACACAGGTCTGGGAAGGATATTTCAGGCAAAACACAAAAGCTTATCTGTTCAAGGATTAAAGAATAATTCAGACTGAGTCATGATTCTCATAAAATAAGACATTTCATCAAATCCTATGTAGCTTTAAAATGGTTTCAAGTGTTTTTCAGATGTAGCTACTTAATTTTATTTTTTTATTTTTTATTTTTGTACATTCTAACATTTAAAATCCAACTACAGAAAAATTTTTAACTAAAAGATGCCTTAATAGAATTATCTGTATCCCTCAGAGAAAAGATTAGGACAATCCTTTATCCCCTTGAATTACTTTTTAAATTTTTAATTTTCTGATTTTAATTGCAATATCTGATTATCAATCAGATATAAGTACTAGGATTCTGAAAAAAGTATTTCATCTCAAATTTCGTCAAAGTAGCTAATCTCAGAGAATGGTAACTTATGGGAACCCCCTTGAGTCCCTTGCTTTATGACACTGAGCAAGTTACTTAAGCTTTCTAATATCATTTTATTCATGTGTGGTATGATAATGGGGATCATGATTATATTGATTTATGTTACCAAATGATTTTGAGGGCTAAATGATATAGTGTTTTACCTCATGTCAGAAAAAAATACATTTATATCACAGTCTGTGCGCATGAATTTGTATCTCAAAAATTTCTTCAAACAGTACTTACTCTTAGTATAGGGGCTATTATATTTTTTATTCTGTTACTTTTTATTTTTAAAAGATTTAATGATTGCCAGCCATGGTCAATAGTTTGATAAGCATTGTAATGTGTGTGAGCATGTACTTCAAACTTGCCATTTACATTACCATTTTAGCCAAGAATTTCAAGTACAGAGAATTAAAATTCTGCTAGTACAAAACATTGTACTGTTAAATTAACAGACTGTAGGTAAAATACAGTAATTACTATTCTGTATAGTAATTACTATACTGTAATAGTATAGTATTGTAATTATAATTACTATATATAATCATGATAAATTTTGTTTATATTTTACGTTTACTAAACCAGTATATTCATTACCTAATTACTTAGTACATTTTGGCAACTTTTGGAGGCCCATAGACTATCCTTTAACTGCTATAGCATTAGTTTATAGTTATGAGTAGTGTTTGCCAGCAGTGGAAAACAACATTGAGTAAGTCATGGTTCTTGCCCTGAATAAACCCAAAAGAGAATTAGGCATTTCACAGATAATTATAATGTGATTAAATGTTGTTATAGGCATAGTAACCTATAGTTCAAAGTAACCTGGGGATAAGCATGCTTAATTTTGTCTAGATTTGAGGTAGATTTCACTAGGAGGTACCATTTAGCTATTAATAGTAACTCTTTTATAGGTTGAAACTGATTTCTCAACTCCAACACCAAGGAGGAGAACCCCACTTAACACAGGTAATATACTTACAGCTTTCTTTTGTGGCTCAGTTCTATTATAAGGTAGATTCTTTATTTAAATGCTATTAAAATTAATTGCTCTCAAGTGGACAGACTTAGCATTTTATTCCTTATAGTTGTTTTCAGTTTTATTGAAAGTACTTTTAGAAATTTATTAATCTTTTTATTAAACTTCTCTTCACAGATTTAGGAGAAAACTCTGGTATTGGAAAACTTTTCACTAATGTTGTGGAATCTTTAGATGAAGAAGAGAAAGATTATTATTTTTCAAACTCTGATTCTGCATAGTAAAATGAGAAAATATGATTCCTGGGATTTTTACCATAAAGCAGACAGTGTGTTTGTATTTTCAACTGGAGTACATGTATTTTCTTTGTAAAGTAGCTTCCTATGAAAATGTGGACTTCTTTGAAGGTTTTATGTGTTTGTGTTCAAACTAAAATATCCTTATTGCTGCAGCTTACTAAAAATGTAAAGAAAATTGTTTTTGCTTGTGTAGACATCTGTATATTTGTTTTTGCATATTAAAATATATAGATACTTTTTAAATATGCATCCAAGTCTTTTTACTTTAAGAAAAACATTTCCCAAACAGATTTTTTTCTTTTAATTTCAAGAAAATTTTGCTACCATTTAAGTATAAGGGAGGGTGAGAAGGATGACAGAGGTTGTACTGGTAGCTATTGAATTCATGAAAACTTTTAAGTTAGCATTTGTTACCAGTTATTATCCAAGCCAGAGTAGGATTTGTTACCAGTTGTTATCCAAGCCTAATGTTTACATTACACATTGTTGGAATTAAATTACACATTGTTGACATGCTCCTCTCCTGATTGTTTTTATTTTATGTGATTGGCATATCTATGAAACCTATGTATATTTAGTTTATTGCTTTGCCATTATTTTACTAGATATTTATTTTATTTTACTAAATAATTATTTTACTAAATAATTATTTACTATTTTGTTCTCTAATTTTTAAGTGTTATTTACATATGCAGATACAGCTTAAATATTTTGACTAGATTAGACAGTTAATAGATCCACCATTAGTAATCAATATGTCATAATAAACATCCTTTTTCTTTCACTGAAATTTCGTTTAGAAATAAACTTATTTTCGCTTATTATGTTTTGAAACTTGACATATAGGATATTTTCCTTCTGGCTACACATTCATCTACCTTTGTTCTCTATTTAGATTATTCAAATAAAGTTAGTTTGCTTTTATAATATTTGTTTCTTGTTTTTTGTTTGTTACTAATTACTGGGTGATAGAAATAAAAACAAATCACGAGTGGTCCTGTTTAAAGTTTCCTCAAAAAAAAAAAAAAAAAAAAAGTAACATTTTCTTGTTTCTTAAGTGTTTTAGTCAGAGCAGGCCTGGTGTCATATACCTGTAGTTTCAACTACCTGGGAGGCTGAGGAAGGAGGATTGCTTGAGCCTAGGAGTTCAAGGCTGAAGTGTGCTATGATCATGCCTGCAACTAGCCACTGCAGTCTAGCCTGGGCAAGAGAAAAAGACTCCTCTTAAAATAAATAAGTAAATAAAATAAAATAGTAATAATCAGCAGTTGTATAATTACAGGACCCATGGAAACACTGTAAAAAGAACAGTGCAATTGGACTAAGATTATTCTTTAAACTACTATGATTATTTCTGCCATAAAGACCATTGGTGGATATAGGATGGATCAAAAGAAAGGTTTATTTTGGAGTGGCCAAAAAAAAAATGCTGTTGTATTACTTGAGTTGCCAATACTTGATCTAATACTATACTGCTTGGAGTTAATGGATAGTGTTTTAGGAGTTAAGAAGGTGGTTAAATCCCTTAACAAAAAGTAAAAAGGTAATTGAAATGGCATAAACTTGACTCAAATCAAGAGTCTGACCCCTACTGCCTATATATTCCCTTGTCCTATCAGAACTCCTTCAGCGCCTTCCCTATTCTAAGGTATCTCACCTGCCAGGTACCTGGTTTGTCCCATTTCTATCAGGTCATAAGATGAACTAATAATAAAGTTTAAGGTAAGTAACCTCCAAAGGAGACTTAAAAGTGGAAAAGAAAAAGACCTTAAGGACTTAAATAATAAGATGGATAATCAATGGTTAATGGCTACCAATGAGAGTATAGGAGGAGGCTATTGCAAGCCTAAATATGGATAGAGCTCTCCACACAGAAAGCATAAATAAATGAAATCCTCTAGGTTATGTCTGTAACACCATGTTAATGTACGTAATTTTTTTTGTCTGATGGGTATACACACAGCTGAGTCTGAGCATGTGGTATCTCTGAGGTTGAGGGACTGCATGATTCTGGCATGCAGCTGGGGCAAAGCACCACCAGATGCCCCTACCCACAGTCCCTGCTGACAATGTAGCAGCAGCATGATGCATGAAGATGTAGCACAGTGGAAGGAGAAAGGCTCCTTTCCTCCTGTCAAAGCTTAGCATTGTGCTCACTACTAAAGGAGAAATACTCAAAAAGTCCAGTTACAGAAAATTGATAACTGCACACTAGGCAATAACTTACAGTGTTTCCTCTCTCTGGTTTTGACAGAATTATTGAGCAGCAGACATAAGAAGTCAGCTGCTTTCAGACAAGTTGAGAGTTGATACTATCTCAAAGGAGCTAAGCAGAATAACTTTTTTGTCCCCTTTTATCAACACCATAGAGTGAAAGAGAATCATATCTAGTTTCTGGGTTCTGCTTCTAGATTTGCCAGCCTAAACTTGAATAAGTCACTTGTTTCTGGGCATCACTTTTATCATTTGGTAAGAAAGGGAAGAGAAGTGATTTGAATTACATGAGCTCTGAAGTCCCTGCCAGATTTAAGGTGAGGAAAGCTCTCTGCGGTGAGGCTGGTTCAAGTACCCAACAATGTAATAGGGGTAAAAATGAGGCCGAGAATAAAGGACTCACATAATTAAAGGCTGCTTTAGTACTAGACTGACTAGAAGAAAGATGTCATATATATTGCAGATACAAGCAAAGCCTTCTTTTTTTGTTTTTGTTTTTGAGATACAGTCAGACTCTGTCGCCCAGGCTGGAGTGCAGTGATGCGATCTCGGCTCACTGCAAGCTCCCCCTCCCAGTTTCACGCCATTCTCCTGCCTCAGCCTCTCAAGTAGCTAGGACTACAGGTGCCCGCCACCACACCCGGCTAATTTTTTTGTATTTTTAGTAGAGACAGGGTTTCACTGTGTTAGCCTGGATGGTCTCGACCTCCTGACCTCATGATCTGCCCAGGATTACAGGCGTGAGCCACCGTGCCCGGCCCCAAGCAAAGCCTTCTTAATGTCATCACAGACAACAGAATGGATCAAAACAGTAAATGTAATGTGGTCAACATAATGGGCCTGAATTCAGTAATTTATATTAAAAAGAAACTTTCTAAATCCAAACCAATATACCACCTTGAATATATTTCAGCAACAAAAAAGAGTAAGGTAGCTGGGAGTTTGTATTAGTCTATTCTCACACTGCTATGAAGAAATAACCCAAGACTGGGAAATTTATAAGGAAAAGATTTTAATTGACTCACAGTCCTGCATGGCTGCGGAGGCCTCAGGAAACTTACAATCATGGTGGAGGGGAAGCCAACGTTTCCTTTTCCACATGGCACTAGGCGTGAGAACTGCAGAGTGAACAGAGGAAAAGCTCCTTATAAAACCATCAGATCCTCTGAAAACTATCACTAGAACAGCATGGAGGAACCGCCCCCATGATCTAATCACCTTCCAGGAGGTCCCTCCCCAACATATGGGGATTATAATTCAGATTACAAGTCAAGATGAGATTTTGGTTGGGGACACAGCCAAACCATATTAAGAGTTCATATTAACAGATTTGACAGTACTTAACTGGGACACACCTCTGGTCAGATAAACATTCAGTTAAGTTTTCTACTTTCCTAGTTACTAGGTCATTTATCTCACAACCACCCATCACCCACACCTTACCAAGTACACATATTTAGAATCGGTACACTTAAAGTATACTATCTACACATGGGAAAAATCAACAAGTTGGCTGTAGTTAGACATATCAACTTTACTATTTATCACAACAGTACAACTTTAATCTTGGGAAACATTCCAAAGTATATCTCTAGCTTAGCTTTTACTTTCTTAAACTACCCTTAGTAACACTTTTAATAAACCTTCTTTTATTTAATAAAAAAAATTAGTTTCATAATCTAGTCAAAATGATCACCAAACATCAGATTTTTGTTTTTTAATAATTTATATAATCTATATAAATAAAAATATATACAATATAAAATATATTTAAGGAAATATTCTATTTACAAATAAACATAATCACAAAACAGCAATGATTATTGAAGTGCATTTAATATTGTGAGAGTTCTTTGAAAACCCCATCTTGAGCAGCCTGATTATGCATCAGATTTCAGTCTATCTTGGTTAAGATCATTTGGTAACATTTGTATGTCAAATACATAGTGAATATATCTATAGATCTCCTCAGCCTTCTGATGAGTTACTTGTGCATACATGGAGATTTCTTGAGGTGTGCTGAAAAATAAATGAGACAAAATCATTACACTAGGACTTTTGGCTTTTATAACATTTAATATTACCTAAAGAACACCAAACACAGTAGCCTTTAAAGAAATCATCTCAAGCATTATCCGTCCAGCTGATGTCTTGAAAATTAGTTTGGATAAAACAGCTACTTGGTTCCTTTCCTTAAAATTATCTAGAAAAACAATTCCAATATCTTCAATGAACTGAATGTTTTTGTGTTCCCCAAAATTCATATGTTGAAGCCCTAATCCTATGTGATGGTATTTGGAAGAGGCAACTTCGAGAATTAGTTGATAAAGGTGGATATCCTCGTGCACTTATAAGAAGAGGTCAAAGAGCTAGCTAGCTCTATTTCTGCCATGTGAGGATACAATGAGAAGGCAGTAGTCTGTGACTCAGTACAAAGCTCTCTCCAGAACCCAGCCATATCTCCGACTTCCAGTATCCAGAACTGGCAGAAATAAACTTCCGTCATTTATAAATTACCCAGTTTATGGTATTTTAGCATTGCAGCATGAGCTAAGACAGTATCTGATGTAGGCCTTTAATTAAAATAAACTACATTCTAAAATCTCCCTCTTCAAGCAATATAAATGCTCATTTTTCTTGTTACAGAACTGAACAGCCCAGAAATGTTAGATTGCAAGGTCAAATGTAACTGCTATTTATTGTCTCTCCACAGAGCTCTAAGGTTCTCAAAGGAAATCCCTACACCTATTTTTTCTTTTTTTCAATTAATGTCCCTCAGCTTCATATAGTAACTAATATATGTTGGCAGGCAAAAAATGTTTACTGAATAAAATCTAACAGGCACGATGCCTCTTAAATTTTTTTAACGTTAAACTTCTATGGAATGCTTTTAAGAATCTTTTAAAAGTAATCATTTAAAAATATTACAACAGACATACCTGTTAGCCATCCTTTTCACAGATGAAAACTGGTGACACATATTTAATGCAGTTATATAACTTATATTAGGAATACTTAAATAAAACTGGAGTGCC